TTTTAAGACAGCCTTTCCTATTAATTTTTCACTCTCTGCAAACTAGGACAGTAAGAGTGCAATGTCCTCCTGTTCTAGGAATTTCACTTAATGCTTTGCATACTGATATTTGACTGACGCACTATGGAAACATCTGTCTTACATCAATATTAAAACATGAATATATTTTATACCTGCACGTTAAGGGGGAAGACTGCAAGTCAACTGTGTCTTCCATAAAGGCAAATTAACTTCCAGGTATATCGGAACAATTCCAAAGAAATATAAAAGGATACAAGTTTACTCCAATATATACACTTGAAATCTGCAAATATATTACTCTTCTTGCAAAGGACCAAAAAGTTTAGAATTTGAGTCAACAAATATGGAAAGTGACCAGTTGGATTAGGTTTCAATAAACATAACTTTCACAATGATGGAAATTTTATAGGTGTCATGGTTCAACCTGGCAGCCAGCAACTACGCACTAGACAGCCACTTGTTCACCCCTCCCCTTCCCCCCTCAGCAGGATGGGGAGGAGAAATGGACAAAAGAGGAAACTCGTGAGTTGAGATAAAGACTGTTTAATTAGACAACAAAGGAAATACTACTACTGCTCCTACTAATGAATATGCAAAGCAAACTATACACAATACAATTTTCTCACCAGGAATTTCACTTAATGCTTTGCATACTGATATTTGACTGACGCACTATGGAAACATCTGTCTTACATCAATATTAAAACATGAATATATTTTATACCTGCACGTTAAGGGGGAAGACTGCAAGTCAACTGTGTCTTCCATAAAGGCAAATTAACTTCCAGGTATATCGGAACAATTCCAAAGAAATATAAAAGGATACAAGTTTACTCCAATATATACACTTGAAATCTGCAAATATATTACTCTTCTTGCAAAGGACCAAAAAGTTTAGAATTTGAGTCAACAAATATGGAAAGTGACCAGTTGGATTAGGTTTCAATAAACATAACTTTCACAATGATGGAAATTTTATAGGTGTCATGGTTCAACCTGGCAGCCAGCAACTACGCACTAGACAGCCACTTGTTCACCCCTCCCCTTCCCCCCTCAGCAGGATGGGGAGGAGAAATGGACAAAAGAGGAAACTCGTGAGTTGAGATAAAGACTGTTTAATTAGACAACAAAGGAAATACTACTACTGCTCCTACTAATGAATATGCAAAGCAAACTATACACAATACAATTTTCTCACCACCCAATGACCGATTTGCAGCCAGTCCCCAGGCAGCAACTGCAGAACCTGGAACTCGCGAATTTTGCCAAACTCCTGAAAAAGACTAAACTCCTGGAAAAGTCTGAAATCTCCAACAAGAGAGGATTCGAACTCATGGAAAAGAGAATTAAAACAAAGGAATTAAGAGGATTCCTGCCTCCCGGCCAACCCCCATTTATAAACTGAGCATGATGTCTAGGGTATGGAATATTTCCATTGGCCAGCTGGGCTATCTGTCTGGCTGTGTTCCCTCCCAGCTCCTGCACACCTGCTCATTAGCCGAATATAAGAAATTGGAAAAAGTCCTTGATTTCTTAGCAACAACTAAAACCATCAACATTCTGGTACTAAATCCAAAACACAGCAGCTACTGGGAGGAAAATTAACTCTATCCCAGCCGAAACCAGTACAATAGGGTAATATGATTTTATAAATGACCTCATATAGTTCTGGAGACTACCAAATTTGTAGAAGAATTATTACATACACATTTCATGCTTATTCCACGTAGAATTTTTAAGTTAACTACATACCTGTCCAGCACTGACTTAAACCAATTTTGTTCTTTAAACAGCGATCCAAGAGTATGACCAAGATTTTTTAAAGCATTTACATTATTACTTTGTGTAATTACTGTTAGCAACTAAGATGCTGAAATAATAAGTATTTTAGATTAAAAACAAAAAAAGAAACAAGTTTTAATTCATATCCAATAGTTACTAAAAACATACACATTGTCTTTCAAAGCACAGCATACTCGAGTTTTTTTTTCCTGTTAGCTATATTGGCTCAAGTACACAGCAGCTAGTATTCACAATGAGAATGGAAAAAAAAAAAGCGTTAATTACTCTATGCACAGGTCCCCCTGCCCACAGTCTGCCCCATATCCTGCCATCTGTATGTACTAAGCTTTTGCCAGGGACCATGTCTGCTAGGCTCTGTAAAGGTATCAATTGCCTGAAGACAGCTGTGGGGTGGTCATTAACACCGCTGACAGGTCTTTTTCCTTTCTCTTGGCAAGCATTGATTTCTTGAGGGGGTATGAGATTAAAGTGACCCTGTTACCCCCCTGCGGGGCTATTTCTATGACAGATCCCAGACCACCCAACCCATGGTGAGCAGTGTCTGCTGGATCTGCTGCTCAGCAAGAACATGGAGACATCCTCCATTGGACTTGGCCATCAGAGGACACCACTAGAGCTCTTCCTGGGCAACTCAAAAATCTGACAAAAACCACATAGTTGGAATGGGGCTCTTCTCTGAACTCTAGAAAAACTTCTCAGGTCAAGACAACATAAGCATTTCATTTCATCTACATGGTGATAAGCTGATATCGATCTAAGTCATAAAGCAACATATGATCTAGATGTCTAAAACACATCGCCTCATTGCTAAAGTAGTTCCTCCTTAATTTTACCAACCATTACTTGTTAACTGTATAAACGTCAGACAATAAAACCACAAAGACTAAAACAAGTACATAAAAAGGTTATTTTTATTCTTTTGGGTTGTTAGCAATGTAGTTATTTTTGGTAAAACAACTTCCTGCATGCAGTTCATCAGTACACTATGAGCCAATAGTTTCTATAAAAGCAGGAGCCCATCTACATTCTAGTTCTTTTGTAAGAAATGCAAGGTATTCCACTGTCCATTGCACAAGTTCACTATTCATTCTCATGAAGAAAGATTTTGAATAGCAAATTATATTTAAAGCACTTATATCGCAGTATGAATCAACCAGAAAAGCAGGCAGTGTGAGACCAACACCAGGGGAAAAGCAATGTTTCTGATTACCCTGAAAATTGACAGACAGGATTATAATTTCAAAAGAAACCCTTCTAACTTGTTTCACATACAAAGACCTACCTACTGATCAGAAAAAGAACTGTATGTCCCTTTCTTTTAAAATTATTCCTTATTAAAATATGTTTAATACAATCAGCAGAAACTTGCAATTACCAATTCACATTGTATCTTAGGTTTCCCAACAGTAAAGCATTATAGACAGCAATAAAAATTACTAACAACATGAAGATATGTGTAGCTTTTTATAATAAGTATAAAATGTTATAAAATAAAACTATTTTCAAAATAACAAGAATAGATCAATAGATATGTATTATAAAAGTTTTTTTCTAGCCCCACATTTTAAGCAATATATTTGTCCTGTGTAGTCTGGTTATTTACTGCATATTTACTGACTACAAAACTCAAACAAAATAATATCTATAATAGCAGCAAACTATTGCTTACTGGTATGAGGAATGATGGTCTTGTCGAACAGTTTTTTTCTTTTTACCACTCATATGTCGTCCCATCTTAGCCTTTAATAGCTGTAGGATAATAGCAGCAAGCATGCATCAGTTAAAGCTTCCCAGTTATTTGGAGTATTACAGAATATATCATATTATTTATTGAAATAAGCTACGCTTACTAGGGTACATACGTGACACACTAAATACAGTACTTAGGTCATTGTTTCCTTGTTTGAACAGGTACCACTGCGTAAAACAATTGATTAAACAACAGAGGATATTTTACTTACATATATAGTGTCAGCCTTGACGATGAAGAAGTCATCTCAACCACAATGCAGGACAAAGCTGATTTAAGTATATCTTTTTGGTCATCTCAGCTTTCTATGGAAGATTGCATCACATACAGTGGATACCTGACTAAAGTGCCATAGGGGGTCAAAACCACCTCTGATGTACATATTTTGTGTCTCTGGCATGACCCATCCTTTCAAAGTATGGAAATTTAAGTCTGAGGTATACATTAAGATAGTACCTTTGTCCCAAAAGGTTCTTTGCTATCAATTTATACATGTAGCTTTGCTTATTGTCCTAAGTCAGATATATTCACGTGAAATAAGAAGTGTATAAACAGACTTTGGAATGAAGTCATAATTTGGCATTCGTAGCTTTTCTGTGAAAAGAAATATTTAATTCTCTCAGAAACTACGAGATATCTTGGACTTTGAAAGCAACTATGGGGTTTTTTTTTCAGTTTTACATTTTTCAAAACAGAAGTTTTGTATGTAGCATGATTTATTTAAATCACTGTATCTGAAATGGACAGTATAATAAACTAAGAACTACTAAAAAGTATTAAACATAAGTATATTAAAACCAAGAGACTAAACTAGCAACCCCTTTTCTGTGAAAACTATTCCCCTGCTTTGTTTTCTGATAAATTCTCTTCTCTATATTCTGGGTTTTTTGTCATTTGCTGTTGATTTTATCTAGATCCTGAGGTTAAATAATCTGGAATCTTGGTTTTCTGCTTCTAGAAGTGGTTTGAAGAGAACTATGTTCACTTTATGATGCCGCAATTATGTATTCCTGACATTTGTGTTCCTCTGCAAGAGTATTTAGTTTTTTTTCTTAGCACAGTACAATTACAAATAGCAGTATGTGAATCAAAGCAAATGGGATCACCAAAAAAATTAACACACAGAGAACATACATAGGAGATGAAATGTACACAGGATATAGGGTTCCTATAGTCCAAGTAGAAATTTTGTGTCTCCTCTCCATTAGTGCCAGCTGATAATAAAAACTATTCTTATGCAAGATTGTTTCCCTGTTACAGAATGAGAGTTTGCTAGTGAAGGGTCTCGGTACAGGCACTGACTGCAGCAGTGGGTAAATATGTAAAAACTTGTAATCTTGGCATAATCCTCCAATAAGAGTGCTACTGATAAAAATGTCATCTTCTCGGGCTTGTGAACATTCATCATGGACAACCTCTTTGTCTTTCACTTTTTATTTCCTTTTCTGTCTTTCCCCTTGTCTTCTTTTTCTGATTTGTCATCTTCATATTTTTCTTTTTCTGTTTTTGTTACACTGTCATAAGAAGGTGGAGATGTGGTGGGTGCAGGCATATCCATTTTCTCTGGAGGTGATTTTTCACTTAGTTTGTCAATAATCATATCTTTTTTGATAAGCAGATCAACCCCTTCTTTCCGATACATAAACGAAAGCTTCTTTATTGACTGTCTTAAAAGATAATGTCTATAAGCACGCTGAATGATAGTAGCAGACACTTCCTCCTGTTTTCTTTTTAATGTGGTTGTAATTGGTTCATAAGAAGCTTTAGATGGATTGGCTGCCATAAACCGATCTTCCATCTGTATTCTGCATTTCATCACTCTCCCCCAAAACACGCTTTGTGAAAGCAAACAAGATGTCAAGGCAGTGAATTCTGTCACCGCTTACCATGGGCAGATCCATTGCAATAAGCTGAATTGTGTTTGGTTTTGGTATATTAAGAGGAGGATCCAGAGAAGCTGCAAAATCAGACAATTTGCTATATTCTATGAATTGTGTTGCATCAGGATCATATTTTTCCCAAACCTCATAGAACATCTCAAAGTCATCCTCGCTCAAGGGTTCAGCGCTTTCTGCAGTAGCAACACCAAAGTTCTCCAAAATGACAGCAATTTACATGTTCACCACTACCAGAAATGATATGATAATGTAGCTGACAAAGAAAAAAATCCCAACGGAAGGGTTGCCACAGTCGCCTTTAATGGAGCTCCCCGGGTGAGTTTTGTTAGGGTCACAGTCTGGCTCCCCACTGTTAAGGATTGGGTCTAGCAAACCATCCCAGCCAGCAGATGTGGTAATTTGAAACAGGCAAATCATGCTGTTGCCAAACGTTTCAAAGTTGAACATGTCATCTATACCAGCTTCCCTCTTAACATAGGCAAAGTTGGACATGCCAAATATCGCATAGATAAACATGACCAGGAACAGCAGCAGGCCGATGTTGAACAAAGCCGGAAGGGACATCATCAAAGCAAAAAGCAGAGTGCGGATTCCCTTAGCGCCTTTAATGAGACGCAGGATTCGACCGATTCTGGCAAGTCGTACAACTCTGAACAAAGTCGGGGATACAAAGTACTTTTCAATCACTTTAGATAGAAACATACCTAAGAAACATAAAAATAAAATTAGACGGGTAACATTTCACTACAGATTACATTTTAGACAACAAAGCATGAACAAAGAACAATTCTACCTGTGGAAATTATAATTGGAGATCAATTTAATCTGCTATGGGTAATTTTAGCTTTTTTCCCAGCACTCAGAACAAAAAAAAAAAAGAGTATTAAAATTCATTTAGAATTATTAAGAGTTACTACTTTAAAGTATGCTTTTCATTTCCTAAATCAGCAGAAATTAAAATTAAGTATTTCCTCTAATCTGCAAAATTTGACAGATATTAAGCTATTAATACTTCTTACTATATGTCACTTATAATCTAAGAATTTCTTACCTACTATTGAAAGAATAACAACCACAAAATCAAAAATATTCCAGCCAATGGTGAAGTAATAATAACGGAGTGAGAACAGTTTGAAGACACATTCTCCAGTGAAAAGGACAACAAAGACCAAGTTAATCCAGTACAAAATATTTTGCATCAGTTCACCCTGGTCATCTGTTTCTATCATCATGGTGACCATGTTAAGACAGATGAGAACCATAATGGTGATGTCAAATGCTTGCTTGGTTACAATGTCAAACACCAGACCTTGCAATTTGTTCTGAGGGGAGAAAAAAAGAAAAGGTGGTAGTATCTTCTATATAATGAACATCCTTTTCCTCCCTCCCATTTCCTTCCTCCCCCAAAATATACAACCAAGGAAAAGGCTGAAAAATCTAAAAAAAGCACTGTTCAGTAACTTCTTTATTTGCCAGCTCTAAGTTTTTCCACCAAAACCCAATAGGCTTCTATTTCTTCAGTTTCTTTGATTCCCTAATTCCTCAGGGATAACAAATATGAGAGATTTTTCCTGAGGAAGAGAAATAGGTACATGTTTCAATTCAGAATGAAGGGCTAACCTGAATTAGGCCTAAACCATCTTACAGTTAAGGGAGAATCTTGTTGATAATTAATGTATTCCTGCAAATTTCTTCCCAAATGTAGATGATGCAAGAATGGCACGCATTCTTACCGCTGGTCTAGGTATAGGTTTTTGTGGTTTCTTGGATCCAAGCTTCTTCATTGCATTGTAGTATTTCTTTTGTTCTTCTGTCATGAAAATGTCTTGGCCTCCAAGGTAAATTAATAAAAATAGAACTGATTATAGCCAAGCCTTCAAATCCATTAATTCACAGCATTGCAGAACATGGTTTTTCTGAACCATGTATTTATTGTTATACATAGTTACCAAAACCAAAATCTAGTAATTATATCAAAGGTTATTAAAATATCTGACAAGTCTTGATGGAAAAATAAAACAATTAAAGGAACAGGGAAAAACCCCAGAACTGCTATCTATTTGTTATTTAAAAAAAAAAAATACATGCCTGATGAATTCAATTTAAATATGTAAAATAAAACCTTGCATACATTCCATAGATACTTATACATCTAACATCAGAAACTCCACACTGTAAATCTATCAACCAGAAATAAAAAAAGCTTCAAAAGTTGAAAGATGCACTAAGAGCTACTATGCCTTCAGGGAAACCATATGAGGAAAAAGAAATTACTGATGTTACTTTTCAGGATGCTTGTTTTATCATTTGAGTACAGGTACCTCAGTTCAGATATTTTTTTGCCACAATAATACTTCCACAGTGTATATAAGGCTTGATCATTCCCCTACATTGTACAAAGATCATTAGAAGCATGGGCTTACTCAGGGGTTTCTTGCCTGAATAACACGAAAGCAGTCTGAGTGAAAGGATATCTAGGCTGTTCTGTGTAATACACATATGGAAACACTTGTCAAAAATACAATTTATGTTGAGAAGTAACTTTTTTTTTTCTTTCACGCATTTGTTTGCAAGTACATTCCAGGTATGCATGACGCCAAAGCAGTGGCATTTGGAAACCAATTTCAGGGTCACAGGTGATTCTGTGACTTTGCCAAATGTAGTGTCAATCTTATTAAGTAATGATGAATCTGGATGAAGACGTATTTGAGTCTTTCAGCTGTGACTACATACAGACATAAAGATTTAGAAGTCAAAAGAGATCTTTTTTGGCATGATCTCTTCATAAGCCAAATATTCAAGTAAATTTCAGTTCTTAGAGAGTAAGGGTTTTGGAAGATTTTACCCAGTGGGAAATTAAAAAAAAGCTATCAAGGAATGGCATTGCACTGGAGATTTCTTCCGCTGCCTCACTGATGTAATGGCTATCAAAGGTGAACAAGTCATCACTGTTTCAGTGTGCTGTCCATAAGGAGAATAGCAGTCTCAAGATGAGATACACCTTATATGCCTTTGAGGACTGTAATGGTTAGAAATCTGACAGCTAGCGGAACATTTTTTTCCCCACAGGAACTAATGCAATTGAAGTAGGATGCACAGAGGAACCAAAGAAATGCATGCAGTTTAACTACACAGGGACAGTATACTGCAACATGACGTCTTTCCAATTCATATCACAACAACACTGCCTGAAATGGAGATATCTCAGTGATGTCATGGCAGAACAAAGACAAGAAAAATACTGCTGGGTAGCCATGCACTGCATAATCTGCACACTTCTGTGAGCGCCAGTGCATCTATAAATTCAAAAGACAGGCAACTAATGCTTGTTAATTTGCTACATGAAACTGAAGAATAGCATGTAGACAGAATTGCCCCCAGCCTAATTGCTGTCCTTTGTGACACCTGCAGTATTTGACTTTCTTGGTGACAGTTACAACAGCTACAAATGTACAAGCGGTGTACACCACACTTTACAGTAGACAGTGTCTGCCAAGTGAGCTTAATAGAATTTATAATCACCTCATTACTGAGTAAGGCCACCTTGTTACATACAGACCTCCAAAAGTGCCAATAGCATGTATATAACATTAGTTTTTCTCTCCAAGGATAAGAAACTGAACCACTTTCTTCTTAAGTACTGGAGGTCCCTAACATTTATTCCAAGAGAGATGCAAACATCTTGGATGATGATGTCATCAGGTTTGCAACCACAAACTTCTCCTTTCTATTATGCAGGTCTGCAGATAAAAGACTCAAAGGATCCGAAGCAGCAACATATGAAGCTGCATACTCCAATCTCAAGTGGAAAGATTTACTGGAAGTTTCCACTGCAGTAAGTCTAGCAATAACTTTTTCTTGCACAATGAATCAACCTTGACAAACCACCTAGAATTACAAATTAAGAATTATGTACTGCCTTACTATTACTTAGCTCACTTTTAAAAAAAATCAATACTCCAGTATGATTCTGCTCCAAATGTGTACAGAAAAATAAGACTACTGTAGATCTTAGACACCATTTATAGCTAAATAGCAAGCAGAATTTAATTTGCCATCATAGCCTGCATTTTAATTTATTTAAATGCTCCTGGAGTTCTTGACACAATCCTGTGTTCATTTGAGTAATAGAAAAAATTGCAGTTGGAAAGAAAAGCTACACATTTTCAAACATCAACAGTTATCTTTCTCTTGCAAATTCACGACTAACTCATGAGATAGTTTCCCAACCCTCTCTAATCTTACAATACAGAGCAGTAGTTCCAGCATTCAGCTTGTCTGTATTAGTCTCTTTATAATTGAGAAGGCCTTCACAGTACTGCTATACCTTATCTGTTTATCAGCTTTGATATTTGTAGTTTTGCATATTCTATTCTTCCCTGTCATCTATTTGCTTGCATTGTCACCCGCATTTCCACACAGCTTTGTAACAGCACTGTAAGGGTAAGCAAAAACAAGACATAACTTTCTGATGTGCAACATATTGTTGGGCTGTACAGGGATGTGGAAAACACTCAGATACTCAGTGTTAAGTTTAAATTACTTCAAATGCCTTAAAAAGCAAAGACTATTATTTCATTATTTTGATTAGAATAAAGGGAAATCTTAATAGCCGCTTTTATTCTTTTTCTTTCTATTACTATGAGAAATTTCAGACACTCATATCTATCCTTGCATACATTTGCTGAATGTTCAATAATGATGAAATATTGTAAAAATGAAACATGTGATACTTATCTTCTTTTTTTGTTGGTTGAAGTTATCTATGATGACACCAATGAATAAGTTTAGGGTGAAAAACGATCCAAAGATGATGAAGGCAACAAAGTAAATATACATGTACAGGTTATCCTCATACTTGGGCTGTTTCTCTATCTATGTAACATAGAAAAACAGTATTACATCACAAATAACAGTTGAGACAAATTACAGAATACCGATCAGAAACAGAAGTTGCATCCAACTGGACAGCAAATCCTTGCCAGAGAGGAAAACCATCTCTTCTTCAGCATACCCTATGCTTGCGTTATCTTTGAACTTGAAAATCTATTTAATACAGGTGTCTGTAATTGCACACAGAGATCTGCCATTCCTCCCCTTTCTGTCTGCCAGTTCCTCTCCAATGACATTTGACGTTTCATGTAAATCCTACCAAATTTCCCAGAAGTGTGCAAATCTCAAAGCAATTCAGTTCCTATAGACTTTATGCAAATCAGGAGCTGGACAGAGAAGGGATACAAACAAATACCAGCATTAACAGAAAAACAGGCAAAATTCAGTCATTTTAGTTTTTGAGATTGCCAGAGCCTGCAGCTCTGGATTAGCTATTGCAAGTGACGTCACTTGATTAGCTGGGTTATTTTTGGAGACAGAGCAAAAACTTGCTTCCTAACCTGTAGGATCTCAGTGACATAAATTATTAGGAAAACAGATTTCATTAGTTTTGTTATTTACAGATGACTTATTAAATTAGTAATACTTTATGTAGATCTAGTGCTATATTTTTTTTTACTTATTAAAATTAAATGCATTTAACTACTTTATAGTGCATAGATTTACCTAGAAAATTTATGAAGGTTTTACATTGTTATTCTTTATATTTTACTTTATTTCAGTTACCATTCAAGAGGAATTACATCAATCTCATATTTGTTTTGACTCAGTAAATTTTATATTGCACTCACTTCTCTAGAATCAACCGCAGCGTACATGATCACCATCCATCCTTTAAATGTTGCCTAAAAACAAACTTTGTTAATACTTTCTATCAACACTCCAATTTTGTAAACATTCTAAATAAAACACTGTCTTCTGCAATGTATTTGCATCCACAAAAATAAAGAGGAATATTAAAAGTCTGATAAGACACGAGTGAAGCATTCACAGGAAGTAATTTACAGTGGAATACTTCTCCCTAATACTTAAACACTGAATAAATTACAATCTTCATGCAAATTCATATAAACTCTATGTGGGATGACTTACAATCAATATGTGAGCATAACAGAACGACTGCAATTTATAACAAGGCTCTCAGTTCTAACTTTCTGACTACCAACAACTGGAGGAGGACTCAAAATATCAGCCACCATGCATTGGCATTTTTCAGACAGAATGTGCAAATAGTCTTAGAAGAAACTCCAGAACCTCAGTAGTTCCAAGAAATCTTCAGATAATTATAGAAACATAGAATGCTTTGGCTTTTAATGGACCTTTAGAGATCATCTAGTCCAACCCCTCTGCCAGGTGCAGGGGCATCTTTCACTACATCACACACTTCCAGTGATGTGGCATCCACAACTCCTTTGGGCAACCTGTTCCAGTGTCTCACTACCTTATCATTAAAAAAAAAAAAAAAAAAATTTTACTTATAACCACAAAATCTGCCCTCTTTCAGTTTAAAACTGTTGCCCCTGGTCCTGTCACTACAGGCCTTGGGAAAAATTTTCTATCCATCCTTCTTATAAGCCCCCTTTATATATTGAAAGGCCACAGTAATGTCCCCATGGAGCCTTCTCTTCCCCAGGCTGAACGACCCCAGCTCTCTCAGCCTTTCTTCACTTGACACGTATTCCAGATCTCTGATCTTTTTTTTGGCCCTCCTCTGGACCCACTCTAAGAGGTTCATGTCTTTCTTGTACTGGTGGGGTCACATGAGAGTGGAGTGGAGGGGGAGAACCATCTCCCTCGATCTGTGGCCACACTTCTTGTTATGCAGCCCAAGATATGATTGGCTTTCTGGGCTGTAAGTGCACATTGCTGGCTCGTGTCCAATTTTTGTCCACCAGTATCCCCAAGTCTTTCTCTGCAGTGCTGCTCTCAATCCATTCATGCTCCAGTCTGTACTAATTCTGGGGATTGCCCTGACCCATGTGCAGGACCTTGCACGTGGCCTTGCTGAACTTCATGAGGTTCACATGGGCCCACTCCTCAACCATGCCAAGGTTCCTCAGGGTGACATCCCATCCCTCTAAGCATATCAACTGCACCGCTCAGCTTGGTGACATCTGCAAAACTACTGAGGGTGCACTCAATCCCACTATCTATGTCACTGATGAAGCTATTAAATAGTATTGGTCCCAGTGCAGCCCCTTGAGAGACACCACTTGTTATTGGTTTCCACTCGGACATTAAGCCGCGGACTGTAAGTCTTTGCACGCAGTCATCCAGCCAATTCATTATCCATCTAGTGGGCCTTCCACCAAACCTACTCCTGTGAGCTAAGATATTAAGTAAAAACAAGGTATGAATGGTATGTTTACTGTAAAGGCTACATCACTGAACCATTCTATGGAAGATGTTATAAAAGCTAAAAGCACTGCTGCCCTCTACACGAGTAATTTATGCAATTGGCTAGTGCTATTTAGCAATGACTACTGTTACTCCCTGGATCAATCAGATGGTAGCTTGCTAGCACAATACTAAAGTACTACATACTACCAGTTGAAGGTTTTTGAAGACAGAATAATTACCAAATGCTTAGGAGCACAAATCTTTTCCCAGCAGCAGTTTGCCAAGCAAACTCGATTAGGAATATACGTTTCTGTCCTATTTGCTCCAATTTACAGATGTTGCCTCTAAAAAAGGCTTACGCTTAGAAATTTAGCACTAGTAAATGCTGCAACCAATCATCTAGAGTTTAAAAACAAGCTAAAAACTATCTCCAAAAAACTCACTTGACAATAAATAGACAATGACTGGAGTGGGACTACTAAGAATAATAAAAAGGAAAAGAAGAGAAAAGAAAAAGTTAATTTAAAAACATTTTCTAGATCAACTCTCTTCTTGTTTGAAGATCAGATGAGCCCTAGAATGTACCTATTTGACTACCATGGTAAAAATCTAAGTCAACATGCCTTAACACATCAAGCCAATAAAATAAAATCAATCCTAGCTGCATTTTTTTTTTAACTAGATACTATATTTCCATAGAACTTGAAAAGGTACTAGTGGTTGCGTGCAAAGGAAGTTTATACCCATCTGGTAGATATACCTCCAGTTCCAAAATGGCCACAGAATCTATCAGATTTTTACCATAAGTAATATTAATTAGGTTCATAGAACACAATTATAAAATCAAATCCCATATCCCTTCATACATCGTAAAATAACACTGAAAATTATAGAACTAAATGTTACGGCTACAAAAGTTAAAGCTGGAAAATTAATTTATCAAAATTTATACACTTACTACTTGAAGCAGAGAAAGATAACCAGCTCCAACATTATCAAAGTTTACTTTCACATTTTTCCACCGAACATCGTCAGCAGTCTTTGCAAGAATTTTACACGCAGTTATGTTATAGACTTCCTCTGGTGGGAAGGGCTCACCAGTTGTGGTGTTAACACAGTGGTAGAACTTGCCAGCAAACAGATTTACTCCCATGATGCTGAAAATTAGCCAGAATGTAAGACAAACCAGAAGTACATTCATAATGGATGGGATTGCTCCAGTAAGAGCATTCACAACCACCTAGTAAATAAACACAGAAAAAAAAACATTTTAAAACAATATGTAGCGCACTAAAAAGATTACTTTTTCTTCCAAATTTAGCAAAAGATTTAATGTAAAACATTAAAATACATTGAAGTAATGCCAATAGAAAAGGAATAACACATGTAATGCAATCAAAGATGCTACTGTTGGCCTTGAAAACAGACATACAGTTCAGTGTTCCTCCATGATTTTATAATTACTCATATTTTTATGGATTTGTTTTACTCACTGTTTCTTTCTTTCTTACCCTCATGCCTTCAAAGCGTGATAAAGCTCTCAGAGGTCTCAAAGCTCTCAATGTTCGGAGAGATTTAATTGCACTGAGTTCTGAGAAACCAAGGGCATTAGCTACTAAGCTAATCAAGGAGACCTAGAGGAAACAAAACAAAAGGAAAGAACGTTGTTTTTTTTTTTTTAATAGCCTCACAACACAAATGTGATGCCTCAAGGAAGAGAACTTTTTTGATCCAGGCATCAGAACAAAGTTCATAAGGACCCTAAGCTTCTAGCAAGAACAACTGAAAAAGAACAAAAAATTTTAAAAATGAATAGAACATTGCATGTAGATTTCAGAACAGTTTAAACAATAAGAGACCTTAATCTCTGTATTTTTCATCACAGACAAAGCGCTAGTTAGAAGAATGCACATCATACCTGTGAAAGTGAAAAGCAATTTGGGTAACAAGAATTTCAAGAAGAACTCATCTTCCCAATAAACTCAGTCAAAGCCTGAAATGTACTGAAAACCTACTCCCATTCTACATGACATTTTACAACACTAAACAGTACTCTACTACAGATGCATTATTACAGTCACGACAAAATGTGAGCCAGCAGCATTTGTTTCTGCTAATTTGCACTTAGAATAATTCAGGTAATAGTAGATATATGAATAACTAGTAATTCATATTGCCTGCAGATGGTGATAGACTTGGAAGTGGTACATACTCAGTCAGACAAGACCCTGATACACGTGACTCCTAAGTGTACAACCAACACAAAGAAATATCAATGTCAATATAATTACCTAAAAGCAATGCACTCATGCACAGAACAGTAGACAGCACTTTCCTGGGAAGTGGAGTTATGACAGAGTTAATAATTTAATTGTGACCTATGGCTTGTTGTCTCTTCAGGCTACTGCAATCTGGATATTTAAAAATCATAATATCAAATGCCAGAAGAAAACCTATGTTTACCTCCATTTGGCACAGAGCACTGTTTCCAGTGCTTGAAGTTCAAAACTGAAGTTAAAAGTTCTAAGTCCAAGAATGATCAAGACACTGGCAGATACATTATCTGCCTTAGAGTACTAGAATGGCTTGAACAATGGCAGATTATAAAATACACAGACAACAAGGAGAAATTGGGTAATATTTTTTTTGTCTTTCAAATGCAGTATCCAATGTACTAATTAAATCAGGGGTGATTTTAAAATATCAAGACGCAATGTTTTTTGTAAATCACACAAACTAGATATAACCAAATTAACTCATGGAATGCAACAACTGTGTAATATATGAAATATAAGTCAGTGATCACTACAATGCCTTATCATGGATGACTATATACCCGTATCCATGAAATAACTCATCTAAAACTTTAGATAATTTGGCTGCTGAAGTAATTATAATTGGGACGTAGTTCAAGAGAAGAAAATTTCATTAAAAAAAAGGAAAAAATAAAAGTAGGAGACAGAAGAACAACACAGTCACTAAGTGGAATGACCTTTGTGTATGCCACCAATCTGATTTCCTATACAAACTCAATTATAATACTAATTTTCAGAAGACTGTGTGTTCTTTAATTCAAACGCTAGACAAACTTTTAGCATAGAAAGCATTAATTGATATGAATCCATCAAGACCCTAAGATCATTATGACTTATAATTCTAGAGAAGATATAGACAAAATATATTTCTAGTATTCCTGTCAAATAACCATATATTCTTAGATAATGCAGTTAATACGTTTGCTTATTTGCATTGCAAGAAACCCTCTTCCTGAAAGATTATCACATGTCTACTTAACGATGCTGTAATTTTATCTTTCTTTGGAAACTAAAATACAATTTAGCATATTGCTTTTTCTCCTTTCATTTTTTGGAGGGGAGAAAGGAGAGGAAGGGTAGTGCATCTCATCACATGGTGCTGATGGCAATTAAACTTAATTATTCTGGTACCACCCCTCTCCCTCCAAATCATTTCATCCTCTTCCTTATGTATTATCATGGTTTGGACAACTCCCGACACCAGCTCTGAACTTTCTTCCACATACAAAAGTGCTAACTGTAATATCTCTGTGATGTAAAACTAGAAAATAGTATTATATACTTCCATCAATGCAGTAAATTCAAAAGGTGTATTGTAACAAAAAAAAGGGAAAAATGTAAAAAACACACTGTAACGATACATGTGAGACAGAACCCATCCTCGGCTTCATTTCAACTTTCTGTCATTGTAACTACCAAAGAGGGCATTTGCAGAAAAACACACTGCTAACATACGGTGGAAACATCTTTGGATTTGTTAAACTGCTTGTGTTTTGGGCAACGAATGTGCCTTTAGATTTATTTCCTCTTTTAAGATTATTACTCTTGTGGAAGAGAGGGACTAATCCACAAGAATTTTTGAAACCTTCAGTACAGCTGGATTAACAGCTCAAAAGCTGATTGTCCTGCTGTTTTCTGGTGAGAGTCAAAGATTGCTGTCCTCACAGAGTCTTCCACTCCAGACAGCTATGTCCTGTTGCATCTACCCATGAGGAAGCCTTATGCAGATTTCTTTCCTTTCAGGGTAGTTCAAGCAAGCTGTCAAACTACACAATACCATGTCTGTTCTTTCTCATTATGCCCTTTGAATTTGCACACAGAAGGCTGAGCAAAACCAGCTTTTGTACTTGTTTTGGGGCTAATTATCCTTTTCTGGAAACACTGTGAACATCATAACAGTGTTTGTGTGCTATAAGTTCTCTCCCAAACAGGGGACAGCTGGAGAGTTTAGACCGATAGGTACAGAACAGTTTGCCTAAAAACATCCTGTAAGATGTTGACTTACTGCGAAACATTTTATTAGACTGGTACTAGTATGGTAAATTTGTGCAATGTTTAGCTGGATAAAGGCATAGAACAGGGAGATAAAGCCAAAATAGATTCAAACAGTCAAGGGCAGCACACTGTCTGTTACATAAACCAGGAGGTAAAATGCCAGCAGTAAAAGAAAGAGTTAAAGTTGCTTGCTACTAGCTGAAAGTAATAACAAGAAAATCTGGAAATAAAGTCAGAAAAAGCTAAGCAGACCACCACTGACTTTTTCAGGGGAATGGGGGTGTAGGGCAGGAACAGGGTTAAAATACAGGTAGTCAAACACTGAGAACAGATTGCCAAGTAAGTTGGCAGAATCTCCATTCAAAACTGGGTATCACCCTTAACAGCCTAATCTAACCTTGAGGTTAGAGCTAATTTCTAAGCCAGCCCTGATTTCAAGACAAGGAGCTAGACCAGAAAACCTCCACAGGTGCCTTCCAACCTAAATTATTTTAGGATCTGCTGCTAGAAGGTCATAAGATGTAGGCATTCCAAGCAAGGGATGAAGATAACTACAATAAAGCACTGATATCACTAAAAAAAGGAACAGCCCATACCTGTTCATACAGAGATATTGGTATGGTTTACTAAGAAGAATTTATCTTAAACACAACTCAGTATCAACCTTTCACAATACTGGCTTGTACAAAGACACTGCTTCTGACTACTTAAATGGGAACACATATATTTATTTTTCTTTTATTTTCTTTGATTTTCACAAATGACAACTCTAATGGACAAAGAGAAACGCAAATTTAATTATCACAAGTTTCTGGAAACATACTGTCTTGGAATCCTAACAGGAAATGAGATTAAAACTTGGCATCAACAATTTTATGCAAAGATGACAAAATCCATCTGAATGATTTCTGCTGATTTCCCATTAATTATAAAATTGCCAGACTTTTTCATTTAACATTGGAGTTATAAAAAAAAAGAGAAGTCTATGGCATCCATAAAGAAAGCAAATATAAAAAAAATGATCTATATTCAGCCTCACTCTTAACTAGTTTGCCTTTGCCTTGTTGAGGGTATCTTGTTTTGCAGAACTTAAGGAAAGGGGAGAACTTCTTAATCAAATTTCTCAGAGATCAGCACACCTGTTCTGGGAACACATGCTAACTTTGTATAAGTACATATTGGGTGCTCACAACAGAAGGAATGGAGAGGACATGAAAGGAGAGAGCTAAAAATGGCATTTCCCAGAGAAAACATATGTTATGTCTCATTTCACTGAGTTAGCCCAATTTTCAGAATGGGAATTCTGTGTTCCTGATGCTAAAAAAAGAAGCACGGTTAAATGAGGAAGACAAATAACAAACACTGCTTGTGTTTTTCCCTCCAAAAAAGTATTTAAAAAAAGAGCATTAGGTAGGTTTCAATCCTACCAGTAGCTGACAACATTTCTGTCCTAGATTCCAAATACCATTTGATAGTAGAGTTTTCCCCAGTCCATTTGTTGAATTTCCACTCAAATGTCTATGCAAAGAAAAAGAACTGCTTTATAAGAACGTACCATGCAATATGACTAATTTAATTAATTTCTTTGGAGTGAAATTCTAAGACTACTTTTTATCGTAATTGTTCAGAAACATTAATTGTGTCACCTAAAACCTGGCTTTTTTCCGTTAAAAGAATTCAGAATTTAGAGAGGCAGCACGGGGCATTCTCTACGATTGGAGACAGAGCCAAACAAAACCGAAATAATTTCAGCTTACAAAAAAGAATCTTTAGAAAGTCATGTGTCAGTGAAAAGTTGCACTGAAATCAGCCTTGCAGCCTCATACACAGGGAGCGCCGTAACAATCAAAATGAGGACTGCAAATGAATGATTCCCATTTTTTATATTGATCCATAGGCCATCACTTCTCATTTTCCTCAACCCTTCTCTTTACTCTAATTGCTGCCTCCCTGCCCCCACCCCTCTTCTTTTGCTGTCTTCTTGATTTCCTGATACCATCCTCCCCTGCAGTTCTTTGCCAGTAACTCATTAAGCCCAGCATCAACTGTCCTACTGCACCCCCATGGGCTCAATTAAATATCCCTTTCCTTTCTGTGTCTGCTTTCTCCTTGTTCTCTGTCACCAAATCCAGAAGACTGAAGTCCAGTCAGCTGATAGTCCTCACTCACTGGCTGAGACCCAGCACAGCAAAATACAAACAGAAGATATGAAATCAATGATAGCACAAACACACAGGCAGATTTAGTGACTCACTGAATAATTACAATGGAATCTTATTCACCAGTATGCCATTTTCGTGCTTTTAAACCCAATTTATACTCTTCACTCTGTATGTGTGTGTATATACATACATATATATTTATGTACCAGATTTGAGTTACATAAAAGGACCTGCCTAACAACAGAAATAAAATACTTTGAAAGTATAGTACCTACATCAACAATCAGGAAGTCCAGCCAACACCAAGCATTAGTGAAATAAGTCTGAAAACCATAGGCCACCCATTTTAGCACCATTTCCAGAATAAAGATGTAAGTGAAGATTTTATCAGCATAGTCCAGTATGGTTTTTATAGTCTTGCGCTGTTCGATATATATATCTTCAAAAGCCTGTGAAAAATGAGTGGCATGTAAGTCAGATATTCATAGGTCTTTGCAAACTACAAATTAAGTCAAAAGAACTGAGTTAAAAAATGGCAAAGTAAAATCACTTTTGGTTTCAGATGTTTTACCTTGAAAAGCCAGCATGAGCTGACATTACAATTGCATTCTTTCTGAGTTTTTGATTTTATCATTGCCTGACAATGGAATTACAATATAATGTCTGAAGTTGCCAGAAAGGTTTTTAGAAATTTCAACAATAGTTGACACAGAATTACAGTTTGTCACCCTGAAAAACCCAGCCAGGCTCAGTCAGAAAGCAGTCTCCTGACTATAATAAATTCATCTAACAAAAGTGAATAATGAGCTACAGTGACCAAATATTAAGTTGCTGCTGATCTTTGCTGAATTTCAATACTGAGTGTTGGTGGCAAGGTTTTGGCAGCAGCAGACTGCAAGCGTTGCCACTGTGAGAAGAGGCCAGCGGCTGCCCTGTGTTGGCTTTCCAGTGGACCCAACACAGGAAGTAGCTGAGCCCATCAGTGAAGCTGGTGGTGCCTCTGGGAAAACGTATTTAAGAAAGGGAAAAACACCACATGGTAGTATGAGGACTGAAGAAAAAAGTGAGATAAACTACTCTACAAACACCAAGGTCAGATAAGAAGGAAGGAACATGGTGCTTCAGGTGCCAGAGCAGAGATAATGACAGTCTATACCAAGTCCAGTGTCAATCAACAACCCAAAAGAATCCAATAATCAGTAGCTGTGTGAAGGACTAAAAGTCATGAAGAGTAGTATAATGGAATTCAAGGCTTCCTATGTAACAGTCTAGAAACACCAAAATGAAAACTAAAGCAAGAAATTAACTGAGAACATGATGAATTCGGTATGTGTACTGCTTTTGGGGACAATTTCAATTTAAAGTAGAATAACTGTTCTTTTTATTGCATACAATTAATTTTGTATGATTTTTATAATTTGTTACACAAGATTTTTAGTGTAATCCTTTTCATAAGCACCCTCACAACATATCACCTTGTACTCATCAAAAAATCATCTGCAGAATGTTATTTGACAGCAGAATTTCAATGACTTATTTTTACATGCAGTACCCAAAATATTCTGGGTGTTTAGTTCCAAGCTCTATTGTAAGCCAACCTTTGTATTTTTATTTTCTTAATGAACAAAGATGTGCTACGATACTATCTTTGATAAAATATTTTTTATAGGTACTATTTCTGTGGGTGAATGCTCTACTTACCAGAGCACCACTACTGAGAAGAATCATGAAGACAATGAATGTTTCAAACCAGTTGTGCTCTACTATCTTGTAGCACGTTTTTCGAAGGTTCCACCAGATTCTTCCTTTTGTGCTTTCCATATTGCCTTGACAGCATTTAAACTCCCGTACACAGCCTAATAATACAAAAAATGACAAATTGTTATATGGCAGAATTGTCATTATCCTGAAAAAGCAAAAACACTCTTAACTAGCTCCTGTTTCATGAAATAGTCAGTGCTTCAAATTACTGCATGCTACTTTAAAGCATCCTTACCTTCTTGATTTGATGCTTTGGATGTAGTAAAACTTGCATGTATAAAACTTTTCTACTATCCTGATGCTACATCAAGCTTAGAATCAAAAGGAGTCATCTAACTGAGCGAATTTATATTTATAAACATATTTTTAAAAATAATTTTTCATTTCTGTACAGATAAATAGGGAACGTGTAAGAATTGTCAGGGAGTAGAAACAAAGAGCATAAACACGTAGCAACTTTCACATGCACTAGTTCAAAAGTACAGCAGCTTCTGCTTTTCTGCCCTGCAGAAAAGCACCTGGGGGTGTTGGTTGACAGCCAGCTGAACATGAGCCGGCAGTGTGCCCAGGTGGCCAAGAAGGCCAACGGCATCCTGGCTTGTATCAGGAATAGTGTGGCCAGCAGCAGTAGGGAAGTGATTGTGCCCCCGTACTTGGTACTGTTGAGGCGGCACCTTGAGTACTGTGTGCAGTTTGGGGCCCCTCACTACAAGAAGGACATTGAGGTGCTGGAGTGTGTCCGAAGAAGGGCAACGAGGTTGGTGAAGGGTCTAGAGAACAAGTCTTATGAGGAGCGGCTGAGGGAACTAGGATTGTTCAGTCTGGAGAAGAGGAGGCTGAGGAGAGACCTCATTGCTCTCTACAACTCCCTGAAACGAGGCTGTAGTAAGGCAGGTGTTGGTCTCTTCTCCCAACTAACTAGTGATAGAATAAGAGGCAATGGCCTCAAGTTGCATCACAGGAGGTTTAGATTGGATATTAGGAAAAATTCGGAAAAATTTCTTCACTGAAAGAGTGGTCAGGCATTGGAACAGGCTACCCAGGGAAGTGGTGGAGTCACCATCCCTGGAGGTGTTAAAAAAAATGTGTAGATAGGGAACTCCAAGACATAATTTAGCAGGCATGGTGGTGTTGGGTTGACGGTTGGACTTGATCATCTTAGAGGTCTTTTCCAACCTTAATGATTCTATAATTCATGTCGTGGTTTAACCTAGCAGCTGGCAAACGAGACCACACAGCTGCTTACTCACTCTTCCCCCCCTCAGTGGGATGGGGAGGAGAATGGGAGAAAGCAAAACTTGTGGGTTGAGATAAAGACAGTTTAATAAGACAACAAAGGAAAAAAAAAAAAAAAAGAATGTGCAAAACAAGCTATACACAACACAATTTTTATCTCACCACCTGACAACTGATTGTGTAGCCAGTCCCCGAGCAGCAATCATGTAAACCCACAGGTTCACAGCTCCATGTGAGCTTGTGGACTTCTCAGAACCTGATGAACTCCCGGAAAAAAGAAACAACAAAACAACTCCTGCCCCCCAGCCAACCCCCATTTATAAGCTCAGCATTACATCTATGATATGGAGTATTTCCATTGGCCAGCTTGGGTTAGCTGCCTGGCTATGCCTCCTCCCAGCTCTTGTACACCTACTCATTAGTCCAGCATGGCAAACTGGAAAAAGTCCTTGATTTCTTAGCAACAACTAAACCATCATTGTATTACCAACATCCTTCTGGTACTAAATCCAAAACACAGCAGCCACTGGGAAGAAAAGTATCACAGCCGAAACCAAGACACTTCGTAACAGTAGATCAAAAAGCTTGAATAGGATAGGAGAGTTAATCCTGGAACATATTTTGGTTTGAATTATTTTAATCATGACTTAAAAGGACAGTAAAATCTGTAACACCACAAAAATGGGCAATACATTCCTCTACAGTAAATTTCAGTAGTCCCCTAAACAATATAGCTATACAGAATTAAAATAAATCGAAACTTCTAAGGACATGCAGCTATGCTGCTAAGACTACTCAAATAAAAGCACAGGATCTCATTCACCTTTGCATCTCACATTATATTGATGCATCCCCTCCCCCTATTAATGGTGCAATGTCAAGACAGTAACCCTATCTTGGCTCAAACTTCCCAACCTCTGAATCATCCACTGGATTGCTTTCTAGCACTATGAAGGGACCATGGGTAATCACATGATTCTGGTTTAAATTTCTCAGGTTTAGGGTAGGGTTTGGTCTTGCAGATTTCACTACTGAGAATGTCATTTAAATCAACAGGATTACTGATTGCTGAGAATCAGTTTATCGATTTGTGCCTAGTGTTTAAAATATTATAAATGATCACACACACACACATATTTAACTTTGTATCACACAAACAGCTCCATGGACTTCAGTACAATTATGTAGAACAGGCAAAATTGGTCGTATCATAAGACTTGACAAACTAGGATCTGGGACTGCTGCTGCATGTAGCTTCCTTGAACTGCCAATGCTTGTTGCCAACAACCAAAATGTAATTGCTAACCCCAAATGTTATTTCCATACTTTCTGTACAACATACCTTCTGTAAAGCACGCCTGTAGCTCTGATGCTTTTTCTGGTTCAGTTTCAGCTTTTTCTTCTCCAAAGAGAGCTAAATTAACTGTACTTCCTTCAGATGAGCTGGAAAAATTCAGCTTCTGAAAATAAAATTCAGTAACACTTACACTTTACAAATATTTATGTTTTTAGAACTGTAAATAATTTTAAGCATGCAACATTGTGTACAAGTAGTAACAAGAACAATATTTGTCACCAGAAATACACACAAACATCCACATATAGCAGTCAATGCTGTTGAAATGTGTGTACATCATCCACTTTCTACCCAGAGATTGCAAGGCATATCATGTAATCTTTCACGGAATTTCAGAATTTCTGGTCTAAATATAGCACAGTGTTAGCATTCACCAAAGTGAACTACTACCAAGTAGGCTTTCTGATACACATTGTATTTATTTTGTTTTCTATTATTATTTTTTTACTACAATTTCTCTGTTGTCATTTTGAACCAATACCACTTATACTGTATGCTTTAAGACAATGTATGTTGGTAGCTACTTTCATTGGAGCACTCTCCTCAACCTGAAGACAGTAAATCCTGACAGTAAAAAACTTTAAATTGTGAACTGTCAGGGTAAAATGTGCAAGTGGGAAAATGCAGCAGATTTTTAAGGACTGTTTTTAATTCAGTACCTATTATTTTTAATTTTAAAAAAAAAGGAAATTAATTATTAGTTCTTTTTCACTGGCCTCTTAAACATCAGTATGATGCAAGGTAAACACTTCTGGCATATATGACAATTTGTAATAAAATTTGATTACCTTTGGCCACAGATAATTTAGTTATTTTTCATTTTAAGATCACTCTTATGATCTAGATTGGAAAATGCTAAAGTAAAATGAGGATTAATATGAAACCTTGTTTCAGATGTGATTTTGAACATTACCCTCAACACATTAATAAAACAAAATTAAGCTTTCCCTGTCTTAACCCATAATTATCACTACCATATGAACACATTCTACTTTTTTTCATATATACTGCTAAGTTTCAAAAAGGAAAAGGTATGATAAATACATTTCAACTGGCATTAATTTGCATTCTTTTTTGCCAATGCACATATGCATTACATTGTGCATTCTGAAACTACCCATTACTCTGGTACACATACCTGTACAGTTAACACCCAAAAAGAAAGGATTTATTTTTTTTTTAATAATGAACATTACATAAGTCACATCAGTATGGAAAAAATTACTAATGAAAGAATAAGAGTTAATTTATTTTTTATTTTATAATCTGCATGTGTATTGCAAAAATCCATAGTCTGGAGATTTAACAGTGAGATGTGGTGTCCTGTACATTAATCTGAGTATGAGTACCAAACTAAGTTAAAGTAGTTTTGGTCACAGCATTCTCTGACATTTTACAACGTTATTATCAAGAAGTACTTAACATCAGTAATGAATTCACACAACTAAATGTCTGTAGGGAATGATGTAAGCACACTTTGTAAAACAGCCTCAGTTTTGTAGAATCAACCCCATTTTCATTAATTTAGCTAGATTTGCATGACAGAGATATTTAAGACATAAAAGCAGTCAAGTTACAGGCACTACCCAATCAAGATATATTTAGACCTCAACTGTGAAATGTCAAAGGACAAAATTTTTATAGGTATTAAACAAATTTCTTTTTTTTTTTTGCTATGTTTGTGAAAGAAGTCAGAAACAATTTAATAAGAAAAAGTAACCCAGTGTTCTGTATCAACATTTATTAAAAATTATTCAGTAATATTGCTTGCTTTGCTGCTACTTTAGAAGCTGATTAAGTGGAATAGAACCCCCATATTACTCGCATTTAATGTAAACACCTCTTTTCATTTATAGCAGCATTGATTTTAAAATACCAATATTCACTGCAAACATATTTTCCTACCACTAATTCTACTGAACCTGAGGATAGCATTACATACCTCCATCATTTTATTAATATGCTGCTTTCATCATTCCATGACATAGCATATATATTGCAAAATGTTGCAGCAGTGTTAGGTAAACTGAAATAATCACTTGAATTATAAATCCAATTGCTAATTTTAAAAATACAGTTTTTTAAGAGTAAGGATGATTTGTGTCGTACTGCTAATAAAAATTAAAAACAACATGAAGTACCCTGGGTCATTTGAACTGTAAGCTACTTAGTACACCGTTTGAGCAGATGACATGAATTCAACTGAAAGAATACAGATTTTTATGAATTAACAACATTAAAAGATGAACATCCATCAACGGAAAAGAAAATGAAAAGAATCAATGTGTTTAGAACATGAAGCTATATATCTCATTTAATACGTGGTAGAAGAATCAGAGAGTAGAGAATTTTTTTATTTTTAGTTAAGAAAGACAATTTTCTTGACTCTAGAAATCAAATTCGAGGCTCGGTGAACTATTTTGACATAAAGGTTGTCTGTTTCCTTCTTTCTTCTAAGGACAGTACAGGATATAGTCTTGTGCTTCAATAGTTACAGATTTAATTAAACATTAGTTCTCTTTTTCACTTGGGGTGCTCATATTTTCCACTAAAATGAAGGTATCAAAAACAACAAAATAGGTAACAAGCAATAAGGATAGAAGAGTTTCCTGTTCTAATAAAAAACTCGGTTTCTTTGCTATGTACAAAGCCTGAAGATATCTAACTAATTTTGTGAATCACTCCAGGAACAGGACTTTTGGGAAAGACAGAAGTGTTTATCCTTCACATTCCAGGGTGCTTAGCTGCTGTTCAAAGTTTACCAAACTAAGGTAAGAAGGCCTCGTACATACACTAAGGACTGGACTGAATGGGTCAATTCATGTACTCAGAAGTTGATATTAGACCTCAACTGTGAAATGTCAAAGGACAAAATTTTTATAGGTATTAAACAAATTTCTTTTTTTTTTGCTATGTTTGTGAAAGAAGTCAGAAACAATTTAATAAGAAAAAGTAACCTTGACATTTGCAAATCATCAGCTAAAACATTTTTGTTAGAGAAAATTCCCTCAATACAATACCTTTTTTCTTTTTCACTGTTGGCAGCGAAAAGCTATTCAGATTTTAAATACATTATTTTTTCCAATACAAATATGAACTGTACTGTTATAAGGTCAACATTTGGAGCTCCTGATCTTTCTTTTTTCCTGAAGGAGTGAAGGTACAATGGCACAACTAATTGCAAGAATAATGTTACTACTACAACTTGTCCCACTGAAGCCACTTAGGATTACTTCAGGTAATTAGTAAAGAGTCAATCTTTAGTAAGCATTGTCTTAAAAATAACAAATGGAAGTGTACACAAAATTGCAGATAATGACTTTAAAGAAAACTAATAAGAGCCATTAATAAGTAGGCCACTGATTATTCACATGGTGCAACCTACTGTGCATTCAACTTAAAAATAATTAATATTTTGATATTCAAATAGTAAAGGAAAAACTGACGTTTCCCAATGTCCAAAGCAAAGAACAAACATGCCAGCAATACAGCTGTTAATATGAGGAATAAAAAGGAAACATTGTCTTGTGTAATTTAAAAAAAAACAAACCCACAGGAAGTCTATGCTGCATATTCTCATCTCCTCATTTACTAAGGACCGACCCCTCTCTCTCTTTTTTCTTTTTAATTTAAGTAGACTGAGTCTCTTTTTGCTGGAAAAGGAGATAAAGAACTGCAGGAAAAGGTGAAAGACGATGCTGATAACAGCGCTTTGCAAAGTATGTTCAGGAACCTCTTAGAAGAGAGGATCCAAAAAAACGATTATGTAGAAACGCAACAGAAAACCTTGGCACACCTGTGTTATGCTGTTTATATTCCATCAATTGAACGTTCTCCTGCTTAATGAGCTTTATATTCAGCAATCAAACAACAAAAAAGACACAACAAATATTTTGTGTAATTATCATCTTTAGTACCTCAGCTTGACTTATTACTGAGTAGGGTACTCTTCAGTGTAAGCACAGTTGGTAAAGTCACTTTTATTGGATTTTTTTTTAAATCTTTTTCTGAAAAAATAAAAGTAAGTATGTCTATAAACAAGGCTAGCAAATTATTTACCTTTTAAAGAAACCTAAAGTATTGCCCATAGAAAATATGTTTTTTACCACACTAAAACCAAAACCCACCTCTCCTACTCTACATAACAGGAAAAAAAGTGGCATGCGTATCAATTAAAAAAAAAAAGCATCACCTTATTATATAAGGAAGGTTACAGTAAGACAATGTGACAACCAAATAAAAAAGATTCAAGTATTTTTCAGTCAAATGATTACAAGCCCTTGGTTTATTATTTTGCATGCTGTCCTACACCTGCCCAGATTCATTACAGCAGAAGCTTGAAGCAGGAGCAGCATCACATAAACAATATCCCTCAAATCAGAATCATCCCTCTGATACTTAGCACCAGTAAGATGGGACACTACCACATTCTAATCTCCCCTACTTAAGAGACTTTTCTAAAATGGTTTGGAAAAATCCTTAGAAAGATATTTTTCCATTCCATCCTTCTGAATAGATTACAGGCTCCCTGGGCACAAAAGAGAGACCTGAAATATTTCCAATACATAACATCGCAAAAGAATACATGAAAGATAATACAGGATTCCACCACAAAATCATGTGAACAAAATTTGCATTTGGAAAAGGAATACCTCAGTGACCCCTAAATGTCAAGGAGCAGAAATGTCCACCTACTCAGAAGAGATCATCAGGGATAAGAAACACATAGCTTGGTGCAGTTGAGGTTTGTTTTAAAGTTCTGGAGTTCCTGAATTTAGAGGTTTGGGAAGATACTAGTTTCATTCTGTCTTTTTAACAATTGTCTTCATTTTAGCCTTATCCTGGATTTTCCTAATTTTTATATTTCTTTCTTGCTTGAACTTCCTTATTTACATCTTTTTAAAACATCCAGATTTATTTAGACACCTACATAGAATCTGATATAGAATTTTTGCTTGAAATTATGTTTTATGTCTGTCTGAAAATAAATCAAATGGCTTAAGTTCAGAAAGAAACAATTATTGATGATGAAGAGTAAAACTGATATAAATGATTCCCTAACTTCCAATTTTAGACAGACACAAACTTCAGGAGTAGAATATAACTAAAATACATGCATATTCAAAAGAGCTATGCATAGGTGTATATTAAAAAAAAAAAAAGTTTGTTGCCAGGAGTGTGTATTTCATCTTATATTTTAGCTTATCTTATGTGAGAAAACAGGAATGTGAATTATAAAAACATTGTGAACAAATGTGAAACAATTTATATCGAAAGATATACACACTTTAGCATACAAGTAATTGTACATATGTAATATTGCAAAGGTACTGGTCAGATGAACATGATCAGAAAATGTTTATAATTACATGACAGCTAAAAATATGGTTCAACAGATGAACAAAAAAAGTCAAGTGAAGATTACCTTTCCATTTTACATAAAATCATAGGCTGTTAACCTCTTTTAAACTTGAACAGTCTTGATACTTAATAATTCAGTTAACAATAATAAAAACCTAAAAAGCATGCAGGTTATGTCACAGTAGTAGTACAGAAAATACCAAAGATGTAACAAGGAGAGAGGAATATGTTCGTGTTGCCCTCAACCATGCTGTGACGTGAGTCATGGGACTCGGCTTACAGAGCAGCTGTGCATGTTTCCACTATATTGCAATGAATGGGAAAAAATATATTGTAGCTGAAAAGCATGCAGGCCAATCAATCTCAATAGTGATCATATATGTATGATTTATTTAGGTAACCTGTGTAAACGTGCTGACACGTTGCTCTGCCTGGTTAAAAAGCACCAGATCTGCATTCTTGACTGATCCAGCTTGATTTTACTCCTGTGAGAAGTAAGAATGGTATGTAGTGAAGTTAAAACATGGTACCCTTCAGGTTGGTTGAGTTCTGGAAACAGCAGAAGTATGGATTCCTACTTATTCAAAAATCTGTTTTCTAAATACATCACACATTTGCAAAACATAACATTTATGGCTGTTGATTAGAGCTATGGATTCCTACTTATTCAAAAATCTGTTTTCTAAATACATCACACATTTGCAAAACATAACATTTATGGCTGGTAATTAGAGCTATGGATTCCTACTTCTTCAAAAATCTGTTTTCTAAATACATCACACATTTGCAAAACATAACATTTATGGCTGTTGATTAGAGCTTTAAGCATATTCAAAGACATACCAAAAGGTAAAATTAGCAGAATATCTGAAGCTCATAGTTGTATATCGGACTTGGGCCTAAACTGAACAAAAAAAAGCCCACAAAAAAAAAAAAAGATCTTTCTTTCATTAGTCTTCTGGTATAAATCTAATCTCACTTCTCACCAACGAACTCTCAAAAGCTCCTCAAATAATGCAGCTCTCTAACAACTCCAACATAAACTGCTCCCATTTAAAAGAAAGAGCTGAAATCCACAAAATAAAAGACAATTTCCTTACTGACTATGAACTAGTGTACATGAAACTTCTTTTGTTGTTAATTTAATTATCTCCTATGGCTGTCTTTCTTTGAACTATGCCAATCCTTAGCTACTTCTCCAAATTCAAGTACGTTAAAATTAATACTAGATAATACTATCTTGTAAACAGTTAATGCTGATGTTTACTTGAATATCAGAGGTAAGAAGGCATAGATTTTGTGACCCAATTCTTAAACGTAAAATAGTGAAGAACCAGGTGCCTTTAACTGCTGCATAATTTCCAGGTAAGCATTAGATTTAACAGACTTATCAGAGCAAGAGTAAATTACATGGATTCATCAGACATTCCTTCCACAAAACTAAGTTGTAATAAAACACACAAAGATGGTCAGTATCCTTTATTCAGATTAATAATACGTAAAAGACGTAGCACCTGTTGAGCAGACATTATAGCTTCCTTACAAAGAGCAGTTAATATTTTGAAACAAGTTATGAATATTGTTTGCTTTGCTTTTATGAGGCCTGTTAGTAATCTCAGGTCTTCTCAACCGAGAGGTCAACATAACATGTGGAGTAACAGAACCTTCAAAAAAGTCAAGTTTCAGGAAATGAGCTGCTGAAATAACAAATGAATGTAGTACTATTGAACACTGAACTCTACAACTAAAGAAACAACTAAAGAGCCACCCTCTTATGCCTTTAAAATTTAAGTTTAATTTAACTACACTTTGCTAGATCAAACTTATTTTCCAAAATTTGGAAATAATATGGGCATATTCATTGCCAGTTCAAATAAAAAACAACCAAAAATCTAAAAAGCCCATAATCAAACATAGAAAAAAACCCCAAATCCCAAAAGAAAACAAAACAATCCAGACAAAGCAATCCAGGGTGGAGTATGGCTGTCTGCACACGCAGTGACACTCCACTAATGTCCTTGCATCTTCAGGTGCCAGGGCAGCTGATACCAGACACAGTCAGCACTGGAGCCACAGCATAGCAATCTGAATTTTCAGTGTCTCTCAGGATCCTGCTGATATCCAGAATTTTTCTTCCCCCCTCAGCCTGCAGCTGCTGACAAACGACTACTTTCCAAAAGCTGACCCAATTTAAGATCAGGCAGTTGTCTTTGAAGCGACTGGCTCAAAACTACCACAAACCAGCAAGAAATCAATATTTTTTCATTCAATAGTTCTATTTTTTCTCATCATTTTTACTTGACATCATCACCTTATAGTACTGACATTGTTCCCTTGGCTTTCCCCCATCATTTTAACTTTACAACTCAAAAACTGTTTTCACTGCTCTCAGTAGCCTGAGTTAGCATCTCTGTTAGATAATCCAGTACAAATAATGCTGATTTCTGTAGAATCCAGTGAGCTTTAAAAATCAGATGTATTCATATTCTTTATCAATATATCCTCTAATTTTTTTAAATAGCAGTTAACTTACAGCCTTGCTTCATGGAAATATTATTAATATATACAAAAAAAAACATGTCGTTTGTTTATTCTGTACACATATATTAGTTTGTCTATCCAACCAAAAATTTGGAAAAGCTTGTTTTTCAAAACCCTTTTAGAAGTGGGTTTGTGTATGTTTATATAGTTTTGCCTGGATTTCCTGCTCTCTTCAGCTTCACTTTCCCACTTCAGTTTATTCACTCTCAGTACAGTCCAACAATCTCAAATCACAATCACTTTCTATTTCTAAGCAGGAAGAGCCATACTATGAAAGAATACAACTGGTATTATTCATTCATACAAAAATATTAAATATTTAAATTTTACCTCCTTGCTTTCCTCCAAATCTGAGTCACTGCTAAACTCTTCTGTATTTAGATGTTCAAAATCAGATTCTCCAACAGCTATTGGTACTGTAACAGTAAGGCTTGGGTTGTTTATGAATGATGTATAATCACTGCCACCTATAACAGTGGCCATTCCATTCTCATTTTTGTGACAATTTGTATCTCTCCTTATTTCAGCAATGGTACAGTTGGAAATGCAATGGTCTTTCCCATCATTGAACTGATCTGTTGCTGTTCTTTGATTTACAACAGCTTGTTTCCCCCAACAAGACTTTCGGACACATTCACCTGCTTTTTCCTTCACATAATCTATTCCCTTCTGAATTCTTGCAACAGCAATCTGTAAGTTGTTCATCTCACTATCGTCCTCCTTGGGAGAAAGGCTGTCTGAACTAAATGAACTGAGCAGCAAGGCTAGAAAAAGGTTCAATACCTAAAAAAAAAGAAAACAAAAAAAGACAACACAGCTGAATTTTTCATTCACATGCTTATTCTATCACCCATTATAAACAACTTAGGCTTCATGTTTTCATTTTCTGTATATGATTCTGGAAATGACACAGTAAATAAGATTTAAATGCAATTTAAGCACAAAACCTGCCCCATATCCCAATGCAAGGATTTTTGTGGTTTTGCATTATTGTATCACTATGAAGACCTTCGTAAATTCTTTTTCTGCTTGTGTTTGTGGAAGGTCAGAAATAAATGATTCTTTGGTACAAACTGCACACATCCAAAATGTTTACTTCTCTGGCACAGCGAAGCACTCTGCAACAGAAGACATAGCTCATCTGTGCAGAAGACAGCTTTCTTAAGTGCTGGTCCAAACTCCCATGAATATTTTGCTGTATGTGATGTAAAAAATGGGAAGCATTTTTTCAACTAATCTAACCCCCAAGTCATTCTCTTTCCACAGCAAGACAAAACATAGAACAGGTGGTAGTTGTACCAGCCCAGAGTTTACCAGGAGCTCAAATGGCACTAAGGTAGCTGCAGAGTAGCAGTTGTTAAAGCCTTTAGATCAGCTCTTCTATGCAGCTTTGAAGACAATGGGGTAAAACTATGTGTTGGGAACACAGAGAGACAACTGGATAACAGAGCCCTGAACACACGGCAGGGATTGTCTACTCATGTAAGAAATTCTACTAGAGCTATGGTATAAAATCAGAATACATTAAATACTGTGGAAAAATTCACAGAGATGGATACTTCATTCCACAAAGCAGTATCTTCTGGTTTAGAAAACTATTTAAGGAAGATGTTTTGCTTGGTCAACCAATTTCACAATTCTCTTCATTATAAGACAATAGATCTGTAGAAAATCCTGGTACAAGTGGCTGTGCTACTAGCAGTAATGCATAACAGGTTTAAAAGACAATTAGCTTATTGCTGTTGTTAGAAATTTTACTCCCAATGAATGCCTCCAGGATGGCTAATTTAAAATCTCTCTTGCTACTGACAGTTGCCTAAAGAAAAGACGAAAAGTAATAGAGGAAGACTCAGTAGGCAACGAAAAAAGCAGAGCAAAAGGCAGAGCAATGAAGGCCTCAAATACCGGTGAGTTAATAAATATATTTTAAAAGACAAATTTATGCATGGTAATGTACAAACTGGTACACATGGGATGCTTTCCTCTGAGGGAGAAAAAGAAGATATAATACAGACAACTTTAAAAGTCTCTGTAGAAGGCACTTAGGAAATAGGAAACAAAAATATGAAGAGGTGAAACAAAATGTGAAGTATTTGAATCTGGTGTTTTTGCAGAACTGCTGCCTTCCAATTCAAGTTTCCTTACCCCATTTGTGTAAAAAATTGGCTATGCAGCAAGCAGGGCTCAAAATGCCTTAAACTTAAGCATCTAGGAATGTTAATGCAGTCTTCCAGACAGGAGGGAGCAGAAAAAATAAAAACAACCCCAAACAGCTAGCTATGTGTGATTGGAAGTGATGTCTCAATCAGTTAGGGAGAAAAGGCCCTCTATGACATCTTCTGCGAAATGCAAACTTCTGTCCTGGGAGCATAAGACTTCGGGAGCTTTTGCTCTCCTTTCTCTCTAGATAACCAGGAGTAGTTCACAAAAACCTGAACACACAATGCTCCTCTCTCTCACCCATATCCTCCAAATCACACTCCAGACCCCTAGGGGGGCCCATCTTCCAAGCTAAGGATTCTATGTAGGATCAGAAATCTAACAAACAGAAAACTCCAATTCAGAACCCATACTCATAACATTCAAAATCATAAAAAAACATATTTAAATAATACATTTAATAACTCTTTAAAACTTAATTACTCTTTCTGTTACCATTCTTTCCCTAAATTAATTCTCAAATTATTTCGGGTACATACCACTAGGTTTCCAATCACCATGACCATCATGAAGACAGTAAGGCACATAGGTTGGCCTGCAACCTCCATGCAGTCCCACATCGTTTCTATCCATTCTCCACACAACACTCGAAATACAATCAGGAAAGAATGGAAAAAGTCATGCATGTGCCAGCGTGGAAGTTCACAGTCACTAGAGATCTTGCAGACACATTCTTTGTAGCTTTTCCCAAATAGCTGCATCCCAACCACAGCGAAAATGAACACGATGATGGCCAGCACCAGGGTCAGATTCCCCAGAGCCCCCACTGAGTTGCCAATAATTTTTATCAGCATATTTAGAGTTGGCCAAGACTTTGCCAACTTGAAAACTCGCAACTGAAAAACAAAAATACAGAGGCATTATTTGCAGTAGTTACAAAAGTGCTACAGAAACAAACAACTGATTATGAACTAGTGACTCTTAGCATTAACAAAAAGAAGAAACTTCAACACGATTCCAACAATCATAGCTTACACAGAAACAGGAGTTTCACAAAATCCAAAGTTTTAAAGCTTAATAAATTTTAGCCTTTGCTATTTTTTTGTGTAGCATATCTGTACTCTTTTCTACATGAAAGAAACAGCACACTGGTTGAATTTGTTCGGATAGTGAATTCTGAACACAGCACACATCTCAACCACTATGTGCAGAAACAAACTAAAAAACAAATAAAGTTCAACAGGATTCTATTGCAGGAAAATAAAGGATTCTAAAATCCTTGAAGAATGGGGTCTTCCAAAAGAATATTGCCTCCAACAAATTTAAAAAGGATCAGACAAACACACAGTCTGAAGATAAAAGCCAAACCCAAGCCCCATGTCAAACATTTCAACTTCTGATGGGGAAAAAGTATAATTCATACTCTTTCTTATCCATAATCCACCCAAAATAAAGGTATTAAATATTTTTCAGTTTCAGATAAAAACAAAATGGAAATGCAAAATGGAAAGAAACCACAGGTAAAGAATGTCTCATAGTACATTTTTTTTTAAATAAAAATATTTTTCCAATAAAATAAAGCATTCCCTTTTATCCAAGTGGGAAAAGAAAAATCAATCTTTTTTAAATTAAAAAAATATGAATTTTATAATTCCTACATTTTAAAAGAATACTTCTATTCTTTTTGCAATTTCCATATGGAAGTAGACAGAAGACTACAAATGCGTTATTTGTTTCTACCTCTCATTGTGCACTAAATTCTACACTTCATTGGGCTTTATGCATCTGTGTTAATACAATTACAGTAAAATTACAGCTCTTTGCCTTAAAAAAATACTTAAGTGCTTCTAAACCATATAATGGCACACACTATTCAGTGATAACAAATAATTTGTAAAATAGCTTGCAGAGATACCCTGTGACACTTTGCAAAAAATACAAATAATATTACTAAAAAGTGTCTTATTTACATGAGTACAGTTAAAACACAAATATAATGCATTAATTGATACAGATAAATTATTATCACTAATTTATTTACCAATCTGAATGATCGGAGAACAGATAATCCATCCACATTAGACAGAAAAAGCTCCACCAAACTAAGGGTAACTATAAAGCTATCGAAGATATTCCATCCAACTTGGAAATAATAAAAAGGATGCATGGCAATTATCTTGAGAACCATTTCTGCCGCAAAAATTCCAGTAAAAACCTGAAGGAAGAACATTTATTGTTACTTTACAGATGAGTATGAATTAGTTGAACCAGCAAACAAAGAACAAGTAACAACCCTCTTACAGCAGGACGTCAGTAAGGACAGTCATTGCAAGCTGAACCTCACAGAGAAGATAAGTGGAAACGTCAAAATGAGCTGTTAAATTTAACTCTTAAGTTAAACCTGAGATACATTTCGTGACTAGTGAAGAATAAACTATTCCTAACAGGCCTCCTGTTTGCTGCTCATATCTACCGTCCATCTAACTACAGGAACTTCCCTCAGCAAGACAGTAACAGTTGTTCTTGCCACAATGGAAGCTGCTTTAACAAAGGTGTGTTGAAAAATATTAATTGGTCATAACCTGGAGAGTGATGTGCTATTAAATGAAGTCTTCATGAGAACTCACAAATACAGTAAGCATATCTTCTCTTTCTACCTGCCAAAAAAAGGCAAATTATGCCAAGGCTCACGTTTAAAATAAAACTTGTTTCTGCCTCTGAAAGCCTCTGTTGCCTTCTGAAGCAGAAGGCAAACAATGCCTCTGCATCTGTGACTACCAGTATCTACAGAACTGCATAAATAATTATCTTTTACTAGAAAGATCAACAAGCCTTTAAAAAATCAGGAACATTTGACAGACTTTAAATGATAGTGCTACACAGTTCAAAAAACAAGAAATCAACTGTATTATAGTGGCATTTTAGCTGACTTGGGAGTAAAAACAAATTCTTATCAGCAAAAAGGAACACTTCTTCTCACTTAGCTGCCATAGACCAACCAAAGCAACATTCTTCATGGAAATACAAAAAAACCCACAAAAAATAACAGTGCAAAATCATAATCCAAAATAACATCCAACTTTCTTGTGTTATCAATGATACAGTAGAAAGGATCTAATTTGGCTCCTACTTTTCTTGCAATATTAAACAAAACCAAGTCAGATTTCACTTTGTGTCATTCAAACTATTGAAATCAACCTAGAAGTCAAACTATACAATATATCTCAAATGGTATTTTTAGTACAATTAAAATGTTAACATATATCTATGGCATGATAATAAAAGTAACAAAAGTAATTCTACTTCAAAGAGAAACCAGGTTCCAATTGTATCAAATTATATAGTATGATGGACTTACCTGATTTCCCGTTTTAAGTACATTATTGAAATCTTTAGTCATTGGATAATGTTCCATGGCCATAAACAGTGTGTTTAAAATTATGCAAACAGTGATAGCCAGATCAACAAGTGGATCCATCACAATCAATTCAACTACGTTCTTTACTTTTAACCAGGGCTCCCAACAATCCCAAATTAAGAAAGTGTGGGCAAAATTGTACCAGCAAGGTGGACATTTTTGTCTGGATTCTTCAAGTTCTGGGAAAATAAAGAAATCCACAGTGAACAAGTTTTGAAGAAAGTGAAGACAAATTTTTGTTCATCTGCTTTTTCAGGTTTTAACGTTTATCCCTGGAACCATCAAGGACGTCTGGCAGAACCACCTCAGATTTTCAGGAACTTGACTTATTGTTACTGACTGAAAGGGTTGTAGAACACTTGAAGAAAAACCTCAAGAGTTTTGAGCTAGTAGTTGAAAAAGTTGTCTATTTTTAACATCACAAAATCTCGTGTTTTAAAAAAATACTACTTATGCTTGCATTCAGGGATAGTTTTCTCAGTAAAACTTCCAACTTCACAGTCCTCTCAAATGTCTAATTAATTATTTTTGGGAAAAGTAAGATTAATTTCATCATGAAAAGGTTTTTGAAAACTATTCAAGCTTTTTCAAGAATTTCACTAGCAATAATTTCACTATTCCAAATAATCCTACTACAAATTTCCTTCTCCTTATTAACTAAGGCCTGGCCATTAATTTTCTGTAACTTTTTTACAGTATAGATAGTGGAAATTTTATCACAAGGCATTTATTTCCAATAACTGTATTGCTAACATGAATAATTAGTATAAACCACATACATATTATCTATTTTAATTAGAATGCGTTCCTCAGTTTAGCCTGCTTATCAGATTTTTTCATTTCATTTTTCACTATATACACGCACTTCCGTTCAATTATTCAGTTTATGTATTTTCAATGGCTAGATATTTTTTGTGTTCTGTATTTACATTGTGATATAGCACCTTCAAAAAAGTCTAAGACTATGTCAAGAAAGTCCATGCATGTGCAATTATAACACACCTTCCATTGTATTTGTGATAATGCCAGCTACACTCATGGCTCTTTGTCTTAAATTGGGGTCCTCCAGCAACTCCACTGGTATTTGATATGAACTTGTACGCCTCTTTTTTACTTCTATTTCTGTCGTAGTGCTCTATAAAAAAAAAAAAAACAAAAAACAAAAAACAAAAAAACACTCAAAAAGGTGCAGAAATTAAATTCAATTTTAGAAATACTGCAAAACAGGTATCAGACTTTTCAGTTTCAATGAATTCATAATATGTATAGTTTTGTATTCAAGTGTTGTTACATCAGATTTTTTTCCATTATACATATAACATAAGCCTAGTATTTTGTTTAAATAGCTATTTTCATGTTGTACTTCTGAACACTGTTAATACTTATAAAACACTAAAGAAGATTTTTATATTTAGTTCCCAGATTACCATTGCATTATAGTTAACTAATATTAACTTCACATTAAACACAGACATTTTGGATGAGGCCATAGGCAAGGAAACAAATCAATACCGTTGCAGCACCGGAATCGGAAAAAATCCCAGTTCCATGCTTTCTCTACCAAAACTAGTTGAATCATAAGATACTTATGCTAAATGATTTATGCTAGAAAGTCTTCTGCAATAATTATTACTCTCCAAAAGTAATTTTTATAGATCAGTCTTGATCTCTATACCCATTCAAAACTAACTGAAAGGATATCTTTTACATTGCATAGCTATCATCTCTGGTTTATGAATTTCAGCTGAAGAAACTAAAACGTCTGACTTAATTGACCCCCCCCCCAAAAAAAAAAAAAAGAAAAGTGGGGTTTTTTAAAGTATTTTATTGAAAAAATTGAAAGCTGTGTTACATCATTGAACACAGCTCAGTTACAGAGAAGTTTTGAATGTGTGATCATGGGCAGATTTTTTTTTCAGTAAATTAAATAAATGCATGAGAAAGTGTAATAAACCACAAGATGATTATAACTGTAAGGAATCTGGCTGATGCACTTTCAGATGTTATAACCCATGTAAAATTTTTGTTTTAATATAAGAAGGTTTCTAGGAAAAAACATGCAATGGATCCCCCTGCGTCATTACTAAAGCAGACTGAAGGAAAATGGAAAACTGACCAGAGGGAAAATTTTTAAATTATACCCTGATCCTAGACAGTGAGAAACTTAGATGATCTCCGAGACCCAGGAGAAAAAAAAGCTTTCAGACCTTCTAAAATGTCAACAGAACCTTAAAGGCCATGCTACATTTGCACAATACCAAATACATGGACAGGGGAGAAAAGGAGAACCAGATTACTGGTAGAGAATTAGGAAATACATTTAAAGGGAGGCTAAAACCATAAAGACAGAAAAGAATCAAACCAACGTATCAATACGCACAATGTTTAGAAAGCTGAGCACCCTATTTTGGATTCTAAAACAGACAGAGCAATGGAACATTACTAACTTGATTCACTATGCAGGTGCATGCATATGCTTGCTCTGCAGGTATATAAAAATGCTACTTTGTTCTCTTTCGTTTTTATGCTTCAGCCTCTTACTTTTGAGTGAATCACTGTAAACCCACTTCATTACAGCAAGATATGCAAAATCAGTCACAACTTCACAACCATTTTCAAAGCATTTCATTCCAGTAAAACCTTGTCTGCTGCAATAAAGAAAGGCATGAAGCCTGGAGTCATTTAAAAACTTTCTTACATTGTCATCGGTTGTCGGTTTATCTATTACCACCTCTGGCAGAAGCTGTCCAGTAGGTGACAACAGACCTGGTGGTCCATCCACTAAGGAAACCACCCCATTGCAATCCACAGTGCTGTGCATCTTCCCATTCACTGGAAACACTGCCAGCCTTCTTGATGATCTACTGGCTTGACTAATGTTACTACTGCGCCGTTCACCGTGTCTGCGTGGCAAAAAGAGAGAACCTCTTCTGCTCCCATTATCCTCAAACGTGCTGTGCTCATCATCGGCAAAGTCATTTTCAGATCCTATCTCTCTTCCATATTCTCTAAAACTGAAAAGACTTGTTCTGCTACTGCGTCTGGGAGAAAACAGGGAGCCACGAACACTCAGTAAAGACTGCAAAGGAAACAAACAAAATGACTGGCTGAAGATTTTAAATATACAAAATGCACGTCTATGTATTAAAAAAAGAAAAAGTAATTTATATTCCCCAGGAATCAGTCAGTGTTATTTTTAATACAGTGCCTTAGGTAGATTTCAGACACATGAACTAGAGATGAGAGTCATCTGAACAGGTAAATTTACAGTACACCTAAAACAATTATTTGAGAGAAAAAAAATGAACATGCATAAAGCCACAGCAGTTTCCATCTCTGTATTAACAAGAAAAATCAAGAACAAAAAAATTCACTTCTAGAAATTCTGATAATCCAAGTAGATCATGCTTTATGTTAGAAGTTATCAATATCCTTAGTCTTCTACATTGATACATTATACTTAAATTTTTGTATTATAGATTAAAAAGGGATTTCTATTTCAAATTAACTAGGAAAATGCAATGCTGCTGTGCATGTTAAGACCCACCAGATCCTAAACAACGAAATGAGAGAGATCAAAACACTTGTTTAGGTACACTCTAGAAAATAATACCAACAGTAGGCTGGTATTTAAAACAATACAACATTATTTTTCTTTGGTTGTACTACTTTGCAAAGTTGCAGTGAAGTTTGTCAGATATTACAGTTATCTCACAAACCCCCAAAATGACAACTGCACTATTCGCAGTACCTGGTGGGGTGATGTGAATGGCTTCCCATAAGCAAGTCTGTTCCCATCGAAAGAAAAACGGAAACCTTTACTTCTGATACTGCCATCTGATTCAGATTTTGGAAGTTCTTCGGCCTTCATGCCATCCTCTTCTCCAGAGAGCTCCCTCTGCCTTCTTTTCTTCCTTCTATTTCTCCTTTCTTTGGCACTTTTTGAGCTGAGCTTGGATGCTTCTGAAGAACTATCTGAGGGTCCACCAATCCCACTTTCGCCACTGTACTCAGTCATCTCTGCTGCAGCTGCTGCTATTGCCTGCCACAGCAATTGTTTAATGTGATGCATTGCAAATAACACCATATTTTAAAGAAAGCTCTAGTCCTAACATTTATATTAAAATAGTTCTAGATGTGTGACAAAAGCCTAGGTGGATTTCTGCAAAACTTCAAATGGAATTCTATCATACAAGTTTAAATAAAAGGGCAGTTATGAAAGTTGCTGTTCGAACAGAGCTCTACTTTGCATCCATATTGTGGAGTCGGTCCGCATTGTGTACAGCATTCTGCCACAAAGTTCATTAGAAAACACTTGAAAATTAATAAATTTATTCGTTAAAGTGAACGCAGTTGCAAACAAAGGAGCTAAACAGAGTCCATGCTTCAGTCTGCATTAATTTAGTAAACTAATTTTAACTCTTCTTATAAGTAACAGCTTCCTTATGCTGCTCTTAGGAAAAAACTTTGGGGTACTACTTCCAGTCTTTGATTCACTGGTGGCAACACAAGTAGCAAAAATAAGTCAGAAATCTATGGATAAAAATATTTTAAACTCTAATCAAGGCTTGACAAGTATTTCACAAGTATTGCAGTTATTTTTAAGCTCAGAATTTGGAAAATCATCATGACAAATGTCACTGTTTAAAGCAGGGTGGCAATAAACAAAATGGTGGATGCTCTTTATTAACTCCTGCTGCTGATATTGAGAGTCTCATGCTCTACCAACTGAGCTAGCCCGGCTGGTGTTTCTGCCTCGTTCGAACCCCTCTGGGACCTCTCAGATGTGAGGAGAACGTGATACCCACTACACTACAGCAACTGGCTCCCCACTGGGGGACTAAATCCGGTTTCCCACGTGACAGGGAGGGATACTCATCACTATACTAACAGGGAATACTTTAATGGATACTACCCCTAGATAAGAAATATTTATTTAAAAACTATTGTTCTTATTAGGGTAGTACTTTTTGTCCTCAGTTCAGAAATTCCGTAACACTTCAGATATTGTACATTTAAAAAGCAATAAATAGCCATAGAGAAAGCAGTCTAAAGTACTTCTAATGTATATAAAAGAATGGCTTTTTTTTAATATGCTTGTTTATTTATTGGTTTTGTTTTGAACGAATAGCATGCAAAAGAATATACTAAAGCTCAAACTCGTGTTAGAAAATACCTGAGCTTCTTCTTGCTGCTTCCTCAGCTGTTCAAGCATCTGCTGCAAGTCTGCCTCCCTCTGTTCTGCTTCAACCATGGTTGCTTGATGTTGTTCTTCATAGGCCATGGCAACCACAGCCAAAATCAAGTTAATCAGATAGAAGGAACCCAGAAAAATGACCAGAACAAAAAATATCATGTATGTTTTGCCAACAGCTCGTAGCGTCTATAGGAGAAGAAGAGAAATGATCCATTTGGTGAAGACATGCATCAGTTCTGCAGTTCATCAGCATTTACTGAATTTGAAAAGTGCAAAACTATTACTGAGTTGTTCTTCCTTCTGTAATAAGATCATAAAAGCTTTCTGAATTATAATCAAAATAAAGGGAGCCTTCATGCATGTGAAAAGTATGTTTAAAGATCATGCTGCTTTGAGACAAACCTCTTTTAATGCCTAACAATCTTGAAAAGGATGTGGGATCAGAGTAATTAATGTAAATCACACATCACAGGTTGAACGCTTAGTATGCTTACCATGTATCAGCATACTTCCCCCTTGAAATAACCAAAAGAATTAAACACGGCACAATTGATTAAATAATTGAAAGATAGTATTTTTTATAATTAACAGATTTTCACACACCATAAAATAAAAAGCTAGGGTGAGAAAAGTAATTTATATCAAGATATGCATTCTTAGTTATCAAAAATAGGATTCAAAGTACAGAAATTGAGATTAAGATTTTGCTGTCAAAGTATTTTTACAATTTAGCCTCTATATTAAAGTTTTTGAAAGTAACATCCTATCACGAAGCACAAAATGTAATATACACTGTCAAAGTTAAATAAAGGATCAAAGAAACCTCATGTGCCTTTTCAGAAATCAAAATCATATGAGATTCTGTAGTAAATGCCCATGTCTACTTAACTCTGCAACTGAATTTGCTTCTTTTCATAAATACTGTTCATTTTCATTTGCTAACAATAGCAATGTGTGGAGAGGGACCTGGGTGTCCTGGTGGACAACAGGTTGACTATGAGCCAGCAGTGTGCCCTGGCTGCCAAGAAAGCCAATGGGATCCTGGGATGCATTAGGAGGAGTGTGGCCAGCAGGTCGAGGGAGCTTCTTCTCCCCCTCTACTCCGCCCTAGTGAGGCCCCATCTGGAGTACTTTGTCCAGTTCTGGGCTCCCCACTTCAAGAAAGATGAGGAGCTACTGGAGAGTGTCCAGCAGAGGGCTACGAGGATAGTGAGGGGACTGGAGCATCTCTCCTATGAGGAGAGGCTGAGGGAGCTGGGCTTGTTCAGCCTGATGAAGAGAAGGCTGAGAGGGGACCTGATATATGCTTATAAATATCTCAAGGGTGGGTGTCAGGAGGATGGGGCCAAACTCTTTTCAGTGGTGCCCAGCGACAGGACAAGGGGCAATGGGCACAAACTGAAGCACAGGAAGTTCTGTCTGAACATGAGGAAGAACTTCTTCCCTCTAAGGGTGGCGGAGCACTGGAACAGGCTGCCCAGGGAGGCTGTGGAGTCTCCTTCTCTGGAGATATTCAAGACCCGCCTGGGGTCCGGTGCGGCTGGCTGTAGGTGATCCTGCTTTGGCAGGAGGGCTGGACTAGATGACCCACATAGGTCCCTTCCAACCCCTACCATTCTGTGATTCTGCATTTCTGTAATATAAGTAGGAATGGCCTTTCCATGTTTGATTTGGGGCCAGTAAGACATTAGCCACAATTTTTACTATACGCTCACCAGCTGATAAAGATTTTCCCAGTAGTCCTGTGTCATCAGTCGAAACAGCGACAAGAAAGCCCAACTGAATGTGTCAAAGCTAGTATATCCATAGTTTGGGTTTCTACCAGCTTTCACACAAATGAACTGTTCTGGACATTTCCTAGGAGGAAAAAAAAAAAACCAGAAAAAAAGCAAATCAATGCATATAAAAAAAATCATACAACACTAAAATTGTTTTAAGTTATTGTACCTTCAGCTTCTAATGAAGGTTTATTAGATCTTATCTGTGTAGTGGGCTGCTATTTGTGGCTTACATTTTAAAAAATAGTGAGGAAATGAAGAGCGTTCCTTAAAAACAGCCAGAAAAGAGCAAACAGTAAACAAAAATCTTTCTTTCACCTTCTTTCACCATTAGACACAAAATATAACTTATTCCCAACAGTTTGATATTACCTCTGCAGATACCTCTTCAATGGAAACAATGTATTCACTTAACACAGAGATTCCATAAGGTGAATACTTCCATGATAAAAAAAGAGTCAGTATACATATTTTATGCTGAATTTTGTCTATCAGCAGGGTTGGCATACCAGATTTCTTGGTTTCTTCATGTTTGTGAATTAGTCAAGTCAAATTCGCAAATTCTACCAATTCCTCAACAGCAAATAACCATCATAGTGATACTTTTATCTCCTGAAATTGTGCATATCAGTTTTGATAGTAAGTGATCCAATCTTGATATCAACTGTAGGCACACTGTTTCAGTTATGATTCCATTCTTGAAAGGTAAAAGGGGTTCCGGCCTCCAAAACCTCTATAGAAAAACACTATAAAGATTTGTTTTCATATATGTGTGTGTATATTTGATGTATATTTACACACACCTATAAAATTATCTGATAGTTACTTACAAATATATACCAAGTGTTTACCAAAAAAATATTTAAGTATATCTGTTTTAAAGACATAACCAACCAAAACCAAGGGATGGACTGATACATCATTAGAATACAGAATTTTGTGATCTTGTTAAAAATAACTGTCACAGAGAGCAAGACAGGCGGTCCACAGACAGAAGAATCCTGAAGACGTCTTCCCAAAACTTGGTCATAAGTCCCAGTGCCCCATGCCTATTTCAGAGACGACAAATGGCATGAAACACATGATAAAGAAGTACGTTCTTAAGTCATTAATAATGCAATGTCTACCTGCTGAAATGGAATTTTCTAGTTACATAAGGGTTTTTAAAAGAAATTTGCCGTGAAGCATTTTGTCATTTGACATTTTTTACTCATTCAAGTGTTTACTTACTACGAACCATTACTACTTATTATTGATTGCGAAGTTAGGTAGCTAAATTGGCTTTTTAAGTTTAGAGTGATATTTTTTACATTTTGTTTAGACAGGTAGTATGTAATTTTCAGTGTACCTTACCCTGCATCTGAGCTATTGCCACAAAGCAGATAATCCTTTTGTCCTTCAACACGATAGAAATGACCTGAAGAAAAAATAGTAAGCGACATGACTATAAATGGAAAGAGGTGGTTGGTTTTTTTTGTGTGAGGATGAACGTATGTTCAAAGTTACCATGGTTTGAACGTTCATAATCTCCTATTCGTGTTTTCCCAATAATGGGTTCAAATACTGGCACATCCACACTCATAAGTTGCAAAATTAAAGACTAAAATAAAAACACAATGTAAAAATAAAATCCTAGAACAATGATTAGAACAACGTAAATTGCGTATTCTCTTCTCGAGTCATAGCAAACACTGAATATCCTTCCAAATTCTGATGTTTAATAAATGAGAGAAAGACATCACAAAGCTTAAAACTCCTTCACTTTTTCAGTAGGTAGATTGTAATCGGACAATTAAAGACTATCTTATTTAAAATGGAACTGGCTAACAGTTTTGAAGTCAGAGCAATGTTAACTAGTACATCCTATGACTGAAAATACCAAGGTAGCATTTAAAAGGAGGATGGAAGTTCCAATGACAATGTTCTAACAGCTGCTGTACTACAAACAACTTTACAGAATTTTTCTTTTAATTATAAGGTGGTAGCCATCAGAAACAAAGGAATATATTTTGTTATTAATGATTAGCAACTGTGTTGTCCTTCAAAAAAAAAAAGAAGAAAGATGATAAATTGGGGAAGAAGTTGATAGGAGTGAGGGCAGACGCCATTCAGAGGGACCTGGGCAGGCTGGAGGAACGGGCTGACAGGAGACACGGAAAGTGCAGCAGAGACAAATGCAGAGTTGCGCCCCAGGGCAGGAAGAGCCCCTGGCAGGGATGCAGGCTGGGAGCTGACGGGCTGGGGAGCAGCTCTGCAGAAAAGGCGCTGGGGGTCTCGGCGGACAGAGAGCAAGGTGCAGGGGAGCTGGCAGTGTGCCCCAGCAGCCACAAAGGGCGATGACCTCCTGGGCTGCGTGAACAGAAGCCCAGCGGGCACAGCAAGGGAAGTGCTGTCCACTGCAGCTCAGCACTCCTCAGACTGTACCTAGAACATTGTGTCCAGGTTTGGCCTCCCCAGTGCAAGCAAAACATGGATAAAGTGGAGCAAGTTCAGCAGAGGGTCACCAAGGTCATGAGGGGGCTGGAACATTGGCCCTGTGAGGGGAGGCTGAGGGACCTGGCTTTGTTCAGCCTCGAGAAGGGAAGGCTGGGGGGAGAGCTGGTAGAAATCATCCAGTAAGTACAAGGAGATTATCAAGGGCATGAGCCAAGTTCTTCTCACTGATGTGTGGCAGAAGAATGACAGACAATGGGCATAAATGGAAATGAGAGGTTCTGACTGGATATAAGGAGAAACTTTCCACCATGAGGATAGCCAGGCACTGAGATCTTGAAAAGAGACAGAAATCTGGAAAAAGCAGATCCCAGCTAAACTAATCTTCTGTCATCCTCAATTAATAACCTCAATATACTTTTCAAGCTGACAAAAGGCTTTGGTTTTCACAGGGTAAAACACAATTGTAGTATTTAAATAGTCAGAAACCGCCCATGAGATGAAGAATATACAAAGATAGGAGGATTCTAAACCGAACACTTAAATCAAATCTAGTGATGACAAAATACTACCATTTAAGAACAGCACTTCTACAATGTTAGAAAAATCAGAATCCTATTACTTCCATAATATCTTTAGAGCCGGCCAAAACTCTAAACGTTCAGATACTGATCTAAATGTCAGGTGCCAATACTTCGACACGTGCATCCAAGATCTGTGTGTCTTTCAAAAAATGAATCTGGCCTTGTTCCTTAATAAATGAAAACGCACAGATGTTAAGAAAAGTCACTAGAGTCAGTAGTAGAAAAGTCACACTCAGCCACAGCTGACGAGCGTATGATATACTCAAAGAAATATTATGAGGACTCACAACTGAGCCCAGAGAAATTAAAATGGAACCGACACATGCAAATGATTAAGAAGAGGTTATAGGAGAAAGGAAGAATACAAACACAACTACATGGAACTGCCTCGCCTACATCAGCACTCTGTGGAGAATCCTAAAGCCAACTGATGTAGCATAGAAAGCAACCGACATTCTGGAATATTTTAGTTCTGTCTTTTAGTTCTAGATTGCTATTTAGTGGGAAATGGAACTAGAAAATCTACATACTGTATTTGAAGAGAGAATTCACAAGTGTGCTACAGCATATAAACTATCAGCCAAAATTGCCCACAAAGCACTATCGCCACTCCATTTTCTCATCCCTTCTTAGGCGAATAAACTAGCTAAAATGATAGATTGCACAGAAAACGTAAATACAGTCACAGAATTTCCATAACTTAAACAATTCAGAAGTATAGAAAAAAAATCTGAAAATACAGAAAACAGCAGAGAACTTTAATGTCCATTATTAAGTAAGGCAGGAAATATGACTCATCAAAACTCTGCCTATAACAACTGTATTTTCTTCTGCTTTTGGGCCAGTGAGGAGGAAAGCCAGCATCCATTATTCTATCAATTACTTTTTACTCAAATACACTACTTCTACAATTAATTACTGAGCAATACCCTATAATCCCACTTCCAGCACAAACCCACACATAAACATAAGACAAATTTCTGGCAATTGAAAGTTGTTGCACTACATCTCAAGGTTCATTGTGTATTACAACTTTACTGGCACTATCACTTAAAATTACACAAATATAAAAAATATGTTGTGTGTGTGTTTGTTTATACCCAAAAATTTTAGCAAGTTACAACAGTATTTCTTACTTTCATTCTCAATGTATGCTGTCCAATCAAACACTGTACCATTAAAGTAGGGAGCTAGGTATTTTTCAAAAGACGTTGAATTTTCTGATGGCCAAAATAAGCATTTATTCTTCAAATTGCCCATGAACAGCTGCAGTCCTATTAGTGCAAATACACTCAGGCAGAACACAGTCAAAATCATTACATCTGAGAGCTTCTTCACAGACTGAACTAAGGCTCCAACAATGGTCTTCAAGCCTGCAAACAGAGGCAGATTTTTATTATAATATTAAATATTTACTTAAGCTAAAATGCAATGTGAACTAGTCCAACACACTATTAAATATCATGCACAGCTTCACAGAAAGTCAAAATATTTTCCAAAAGAAAAAGGTACCAATGCATCTCTCAGTTCCTGACAAATGAATTTGAAAATATGAATGGGAATGAATGGTACACATTCCAAAGCACTTGCTCTTCAAACGAAGAAGTAACTTTTTATTCATGCTCTCTATACATGTAAACTACATGTAAAGAAAATTGTTCATTTTTGCTTCTTGATGCCTCTTGCTCCAAACCTTTGCCAGTGTTCTATTCCAACTCACAATATATTTGTTCTATAACAGCAAACAAAAACAGAACACGCTTGCATTTTAGTAGAAATTTTAATGACTGCATTCTATTGCATCCTGTTCAACTGGAGGTGGGGTTTGGTGAAGACAGGCATCTTAAGGTACTAAATACACCATGCAATTCCCGTGCTAGTCTTTATTATCTTATTCCTTTGTCTTGGATTCAACTTTTACAATAGACTGAAATTTTCAATCCCAAATGTCTTCAGTAAATAGTAACAGTCACATTAGTAAGAGAAAAATGAAAAGATAGTTAATTTGGATCCTTAATATGGGAGAGAAAATTTGACATCATGAAATGGAAGTATACACAGGCTATGTAATTCAATTGCTCATGCAAGAATGTATTAAACTCCGAGGCTGAGTGTTTTAGAGAATTAGAAAAAGGAATTAAATTTAAGCTAAGACTAAAACCTGGACACTTCTGTTAAAAATGTGAGTTCAGCTTCTGTGGAATTTCAATCAGCCTCAGTGTTTAACCTCGCTCTCACCTGGAATGACTGATATTGTTTTCAAAGCTCGGAGAACTCTGAATGTTCTCAACGCTGAGACATTGCCCATGTCCACAAACTCTGTCACATATCTGTAGTGAGGGATTCCACACACAAACACAATGACAGCACACACAGAATTAAACAGAGGTGATGTAGAGGGCCTACCATTTTACACAGTTACTTCTTACCTGGGATTACAGAAATAGTTTTCAAAGCTCTCAATACTCTGAAAGTTCGAAGAGCTGAAACATTGCCTAGGTTTACAAATTCTGTTACATACCTGTAGGATTAAATCACAGTTATTCAGAATTAAGGTAGAGTGTATAGTACTTACCAGGACCTGTAATCCAGACTATTTTTTGGAAGTGGCAACTTTAAATGAAAGACTTGCATTCATATTTTCCTGTTTCAATTAAGTTTTCCCAAATAAACACACCCTTAAATATTTCCACTGAATACAAATTAAAAGAAAAATAGCTTCCCCTGATCTTATTGTTTAAATACTAATTAAAATTGATTATTCAATGGCAACTTCTCTTTTGTACTGTGGGATAGCCCACCAATTCTGCTGTGTGCTACATTAGTGTAAAATATTAAAACGGAAAAAGTTGAAACACAGTTCAACTAAGATTCATTTTAAATGAGCTAAGATAACACAAACAAATAATTACAGGTTGAAAAAAGTTCTAACTGATATTTTACTCAAAAAAAAATATATACTTACGCAAAGGAAATGACAACAAAATCAAGCCAGTTCCAGGGGTCACGAAGGCAAGTAAAATCATTTATACAGAAGCCTCTTGCAAGGATTTTTACCAGAAATTCAAAAGTATAAATTCCCGTGAAAGTGTACCTATAAAAAAACATCCAAGCAAATGTTAGAGATCGTCGTTCAGTGACACCATGTCACAGGCATAAAGGAAAATCACTCAAAACCAGTGATTAGTACATGTACTGTAACAGCAGTTACAAACTCACATAAACTATGACTGTTTCCCCACAATCCTTCTGCAAGACAATGGGATTTATTTATTTATTTTATCTGAAACATATTTTTGCTGTTTCTGGCATTAAGATTTTGAAATTTTAGCACAAATAATAATGATGTTTAACATGAATAAAATATTTTTGCTCAAATAAAAATTTCAGCATGTTTGCCACGTCAGAAATGAAATTCATGGGTGACTGAAACCTAGTATTTACTCAAGTTGCTCGATGGTTAACCAGGACATCTTCCAGGTAGACTTCAGAATGTCACACAATAATCCTCAGCGGAGGTGTTTTCTTTAAAGAGAGTATGTGTCCCATTTTTAGATTATTTTTTGCACAAAATGAAGGTGCTTCATAAGGGCTACAGAAAGCATCTTCACATTGAAAAGCAGTAGCTGCAGGCTGAATAGCTATTTTGTTTATCTTCGTACAATTTTTTTTCTGTTTTTAATAAAAATGCGAAAGGAACAGCTCAAGAGGGAGAACGCATAAAAACATTACTTGTACAAACATTCTGAATGAGAGTATTAATCAGAGTTTTGTTCAGACAAAAAGGTTAACAATATCACAGCTTCTTTCCTCCATAAAGCCTGACGGTCTATGCTGCTTTCAGTTGCAGCTAAGATCAAACTCCAGGCTAGAAAAAGGAGAATACTAGTATTACACACAAGACTAAGTAAAACTACATGGTCTAGTTCATAATTTAGCTTTTCTTTTTTAAACCAAGTAAAAAATTATTAGCTAAGTTAAGTATACTTACTCTACATTCTTTGTCCAGTCTGGAAGGTTACTCCATGTCATAAATACACAGTTTGTCAAAATAGTGAGCATAATGAGCATGCTGAACAACGTTGACTGTAGTTAAGGAACATACTCACTTTAAATGCTGACTTTGCATCATGCTTAACACAAGAAATTGACCAGGCTATAGAATGCTGACAACAGATATGATACAAACCAGTTTACTATCACTGCCAATGTCATAAATAACGCAACAATGTTTCACAATGATGACGGCTATACCACCAACTCTGTAATCTAGGTATACACGCTATGCATCTCTTCCTCTGAATTGAATCAGAGGGTTAAAGAGACATATCTTAGCTCTGATTCATTTTGAGAGAAAGAATTAAGGATAGTAATACATTTAAAAACTAAACAAAAAACCGTAGTGCTACTAAATATTAAAAAGACCAGTAATAATTTTAATAAACCACTTGAAAAGGATATGAATGAACCAAAATCTTAATAGCTACTCTTCTAATAATATTGAAAGGAGATAAAAGGTACAAGGCAGGTGTGGCACTGAACCTGAAGATTGTCTTCCCTTTATTCAATACTATAAACGTCTAAAAAAAAAAAGAGGGAGGGAGGGAGGATAGGAAATGGGAAATTAAGGATACGTGTTAGCAACCTTGCCATAAGCAGAGGCTGCACTTACACAGATGTAAGTAGCCAAATTTATTTTCTGTAGAATTATACAAGCAAATATCAGCTTCTGAATTTTCACTTGAGCAATGAAAACTGAACACCATACATGCTTTGTCTCTGTGCCCTTAAACAAAATCTGCATTTCAGCATTTTCCAAGATAATGCAGTTACATTAAAAATATAATTTAAAATTTGTCATTTTTAACATTTAAGATTAATCCAGCTATATTACTTGCACTTCAGACCAAACCTGTCAGTGCAAAACAAAGCACCTAACTAGCCATTGCTGGACACTTACAAGCAACTATTTAACCATTTCAGCACTTTAAAACTGCTTTTCAGGTACGATATCCTTGGCTTTTAAAAGCTTTACTGCCTTTATTGCCGGTGCAGTCATCACTAGTGCCATTTATGCAACCATTTTTGATTTTGACTAGAAGACACAATGAAAGTGTCATCCAATGAAATCTTAATTCAATCTACATCTTATGATTATTCTTCCAAAAGTGTAATATCTGGAACTAAGCAGGTTTTAACACTGAATCCTTCTGTTTTCTAATGTTATTCCATTGTAAAACAAACGGATCTTTTGATAGTAGCATTTGTGAAGTGGAAACAACAAAAAACAAAATAACTAAGAAAGCCCTACATCGATTATCAGTCTTCAAAATTTTGTACTAGAAAAAACACTGCTTTAACTTAGTTGCTTCTTACAGAGATAATATAGCTCTTTGGTCACTCGCTCACATGCAAGATACTAATCTGTTGGTTATCCAGTACTTCATTTCAAGAACCTGTTCTATGTCTTTAATTCAACAAGCATTTTACTGATTTACACAATAAAAAAAAACACTCACTGCTTATTTTGTACTGCCTTTTTAATGTAAACTCCATTTTGCTCTCATTTTGAACATCATTCCACTTCTCATGCCTATATAAAAACATCTTTCTCTCATCTGTATTTGCTAAAATCATCACCCTTGCTCTTTTCTCCATTTGTTACTACTATACCTATGAAAGAAACTGAGACTCATTAAAGTACATATATATAAATATAGACTTTGTCCTCATGTCTATATTAGGCATGTAACATAGACACAATATTGAAACATAAAGTACACAGTTTTAGTCTTTACACTCAGTCCCATGGGAGAAGTCAACATGGGCCTACTCATATGAATGTTATTTTTATACTGTTTTGCTGACCTGATACTGAGCCACAAATCCTCCTCTACATTAAACAAAAACATATATACAAAATATATAAAATTTCTGGGAAAAACTTTGCATGCATGCAGATGTAAAGTGATTCTAAGAGGAACAATGCAAAGACTTTCAAGAACTTCCTTGCCCTGTAACATACTATTATTGAGGGCATATGATCTCAGATTGCACTACCAGTGCACCATCTTCATGTTCCTCATGAAGCAGCGCAGGGAGTGATTACTTACTGGGGAATTGGTATTAAAATCATCCTGATGATTAAAATCACCAGGAAGAACGTAAGTGACCAAAAAAACACGAAATCCTCCCCACAAAGCTCAGAATGCTTGCAGTGGTCCTGAAGCAAACTCTAGCATAACAAACTCACATCTCTAAGTGACATAAGCTGTTACCAATCCACAGAAATCACACCACATGAAGCTGGCAATATGTGATGATAATAATTTTTTTTAATTTACTTTCCTCTCTAGTCAAACAGAGTTCAATGTTTAATTTTTTGTAAAATAATTATGAGATTTCAAGGAATGTTTGACAGTCAATCAGTTTGGCAGATGACCAAACAAGCACTTTGAACAAAGGCTACCCTACTGAACTACATCTCAGATACTGTCTATGTTTCCTAGAAGCCCCAGGAACAGAGTTGCCAGACAGAGAGGAAGTTTTCAAATGCTTCAGCATTCAATCAAATTTGAAGAGGTTAAAGGACACCACTAACTCAAAATATCATCTTAAGGAAAATATAGACAGGAAAAAAAAAAAAGCTCTTTTTTTAAAAAAAAGCAACTTAAGCAGAAGAGTTACAGTCATATTTATAGTGTATTCAAAATAATTAACATGATATCACATAATCCATAATACTTTCTACCAAGGCTTCTGACTACCTCCACACCAAAGTATTTATCACTTTATAGTTCAACAGGAGTGTTCTAATTACACTCTTCATATAAAACACTTACTTTTTTATTTATATAATATGGATCCAGGTCCTCCAGGGGCTCAGACACCATTCCTGGAGGAATATCGCCATAAATAAATGGCAGTGTCTTTCCTGCCTCCAAGTCATTACTTGGCTTTGGGTGATTTTCTTCATGACCACCATCATCTTTATGCTCTTCTTTGTCACAATGAGACTTTTCATCAGCAATACGTTTTTCAATAGCTGCAAGGGATTCTTTGGTGAAATAGACGAAGCAGTCAGATCCTGGTGGTACAAGCATTGCCTGTGCCATCTTTTCATTCTGCAAACTTTAAATGCTTTTAGGCTCTTGTGCAAGAAGATCCTAGGAGAACATGAGAAAAAAGAAACAGAAAATAGTGGGCAACAGCAATGAAAAATCCAAATAAAAGCTTCTGGCATCATCTCCTTCTTTTCTGATTCTGAAGCACTGTAGCAAGAAGTATTTGAATTAACAGATACTTAATGGAAAATTAGCTAGCAGTAACAGATACAAGTTATGAGGTAACGAAAAAAATGAAAGGAGGGGAAAAAAAAAGATTAAATTTGCATAGTTTGTCAACTTAGGTTAATACAAACCTCACAACAAGAAAAAAGGAAAAACATTATCACTTTCCCTAGCCCAAACATTAAGTATAAACACACATTATTGTGAAACAGTAAGAAATGTTTTAGCACAGCTATGTACTGCAGTCAATGGTTACAACTTCTAACATATGGATTTATACACTAAACCGGCACAGTACCTTAAAAAATTTTGCAACTTCTATTACAGAAGTAGAAAGAAAAAACACGCCTTTTCTATCACTCTCTATTTCTGATGGCAACACTACTCCATCTGGTGGTTTACACTATGCTTGCTAAACTAATATTTACATTATACTATTACTCAGGTACTACTTATACGCATTCTAGATTTAAAGCCAAATGCACAAACAGAAAGCAACTGGGCTGAATTTTAGTCTCTCCCTTTTTGGGTTCCCTGACTTGCATCTTCCTGATTTTTAATTGTAACTTTGGTGGTGCTATGCTCCATAATTAAGGAAGTTACGATGGATGAAGCATTTTAGATTTATACAGAAAACACAGCATACTCTCCCCAAAGTTACAGTACTCTCTCTGAGGCCAGATATATTTTCAAAAGACCTAAAAATAATAAACTGATTAAATTACAACAAACAATAATAGATCACTTCTTTCTAGGTTTAACCATCTTCTACAGTGAGAGCACAGTTAACACCCATGGGCGCAACATCTTCAGAATAAAACAATTTTATGAACAAACAGAATCCAGTCCTGCTTGCTGACATTGGCAAGTGTTGCAGCCTTTGTCAACACAAGATTGTGGTAGGCCAACCTCGGCCGGCTACCAGCCCCCCAGCCAGCCGCGCTCACACTCCCACTCCTCCAGAGGAAGCCGAGCGGTGGAGAACGAAGCGAAAAAGCACACGCCTTGAGATAAAGACAGGGAGGTCAATTACCGGTTAATGTCACGGGCGAAACACACTCAACTTGGGGAAAAATAATTTATTGCCAATTAAAATAGATTTGGATGGTGAGAAACAAAGACAAAATCTAGAAGAACTTCCCCCCCTCTTGCCTCTTTTTTCCAGGCTCAACTTCACTCCTTCATTCTCAACTCCTACACCTCTTCCCTCCCCGAGTGGCATGGGGAGGATGGGGAATGGGGGGCTAGGGTCAGACCACTGCAGCTCATCTCTGCTGCTCCCTCCTCACATTTGTCGCCTGCTCCAGCATGGGTCCTTCCACAGGCTGCAGGGCTTCAGGGTGAGGTTCCTCCAACCTGGGTTCTCCATGTGCCACAGTTCCTTCAAGGACCTGTGTCCTCCACAGGTTGCAGTGTGGCTATCTGCTCCGGCACGCTCCTCCATGGGCTATGGGGAAATACTTGCCTCACCACAGCCTGCCCCGCAGCCTTCCAGGGAATCTCTGCTCCAGTGCCTGGACCCCCTTCGTCTTCACTGACCTTAGTGTTTGCAGGGCTGCTTCTTACACTTTTTTCCTCACACATGATGGTTTGCCCTTTCTTGCATGTGTTTTCCCACAGGAGCCATGGTTTTGGCTGCAGGGCTCAGCCACGCCCTGCGTGGGTCCTGCCCAGCTGCATCCAGCCGTGTTCGGCACAGGGCAGCCCCGGTCTCTCCTCACAGCGACCACCCCGCCGCTCCCCCACCGGAACGGGTGCTGCCACAGACACACAGCACAGAAATGTTGCCGGGACTGGTCAGGGCGCTGTAAGGCCCAGCTCCCAGCGGGAGAAAACTTGAGACGGATTTAGATGAGTTGCTCCATTTGCTGTAGGCTCCTGCCACCAAAAATGCCACAGCCTGAGCCTGTTCTACCCAGGAGGTGAGAGCCGGCTAAGGAGGTACCTCTTTTTCTGATCACAGTGCGAGCTCAATAGCAGGGGTGTGCTGGGAAGGAAAAGAAATGATGACGTACTTCTTCATGAAGTGTAACAGCTCTGAAGTCAAGTAACAAATGACACCACGAATCCCAGAAATCTGCTTCTTCTAGGTCAACTTTTAGGTCAACTTCACACTACTTGAGGACATTTTCTATTTTTTAACAATTTTCCAGCAGAAACTAAATTCTCGTGGACATGCAACCTAATGACACACAAGCCACCTCTTCCTCAAAATTACCACTCCAGGGTATACACAGACCTCAAATCCCTGCTTTTTCAGCTGAACTACACAGCTTCCGAGTCCTTAGCAAATACTCTTTACCATGATAAAAGACACAAAAAAGGGGTTTTTGCACAGGCTAGTAAAGAAATGAGAAATTTCCTAATAAATAGCTATAAGAAATCAGGCATTTTTCATGTCAGCCACAAAGCACTTCAGGAAAACACAGAAATGCCTTTGCTCTGGAACAGAAAGCCCGAGAATGCCAAGTCTTCCCTTATTTATTAAAAAATGAATAATTTCATCCGTGCTATCTTAAAGAGATTCACAATTCTTAAACAAAAAGTGTGATGGTTGTTTAGTCTTCCCTGGCGAACCCTTCTCAAAGCTATAGCACCATGCCCCTGAAGATCTGCACAGCCATGCTTGGACTGAGAACCAGCTGTGTCTCAAAAGGGACTTCTCCTTCAGAAGCTGGATGGCATCTGTGGCTCTAAACACCCAGAGAACACGCACCAGCAAAAAGGGAGAGAGATCTGTCTCACAGGAAGGACACCAGGATCCTACTCCATAAGCTTCATTTTTACCTAAGAGCTTAAGTAAGCAATGCAAGTATTATTTGCTACCCTTAGGTCATTTATTTAGCTTACAACTCTGTTTTTCAGAAATAAAATGGGGTGGAGTGGGGTGTGTATTGTCTGCTTCTTTATTTGTAAGCTGAAAATTCACAAGGATTTTCTTAGTGCAAGCAGTCATGTCTATTTAAATCCTTTTAGGTCAAGGAAAGTTCTTACTAGCAGGGGCTTTTTCCTATACCAACGTGATAGCAACTAACTACCTACTATTTAACTACTATTAAGTTAAATAGTAGGTCTGCCCCCCCAAAAAACATTCCTATATGTTATATTAACCAATATGGTATGTGTTGTAACAGATTCTGAGGACTGCACTTATATAAAATTTGTCTTTTCTGTATTAAGCAACGCAAACTACAGTTAATATATATGCAGCTATATGTAATCAGTCTACACACACCCAGTTATTATCTAAAATGTTTAGAAGGTTGCACAAAACCTTTCAGAGCCCGAAGAGACAAGAGAGCAAGATCTACAGTCGTTAGAACAACTTCTATCTTAAAAACACATAAGCCAGGAGCTGTACACACGGTGCTGCCGTATTACAGTCACGCTGCCCTTTATGGGCTAAATATGATACAGGTTTTTCAGCACATCTACACACCACTGACCAGTCCACCATGCCTACAAACAACCAGAGACATACTTGGCAGTCTCAGAAATACTTACACAACTTCATGTTTTGATGACTATCTTCAGAAACAAAACAGGCCGAAACAAACATGTCAACAAAAAGAAAGGGGAGACACTCACGGAGAATAAGACAAATATGTACCATAAAGTTCAGCTAGTCTTTTGGAGGATGTTCTCATTATTTGGAGAAAGACTTTACAAAACTTTAGAAATAATTTTCTAGTCAACTTTATGAACGTAGACTCAGAAGCTGAGGAATACGATGCCTGCAGAAATTACTTGTTATCAAATATGGACTTGAAAAATGTCACTAACTTATGTCTGTATATGCATTTAGGCTAAATTTACTCTTTAGAAGTCTATAATATGTAAAACTAAAAGTTCATGACTGTTCATTTTGCCAAATACCACTACGGCCTTATGGCAGTTTGTCTGAGTTGTTACAGATGTTATCAGAATGAAAACCAACCTTTCCGCGTGCATGTTCATATTTCACTGGTTTATTCAGCAAGGCTTAAGTGATATCCTTAGTGCTGCGATGAACTCCAGTATTTCTCTCTAGAGACACCACAGCCATTGACTGCAGCACATCTCTCGGTGTTAGCATAAAACAGAAAAAGGGTATTTTCCAGTATCCAACAGGAATCTCTTTCATTAATGATTTACCCTAGCAGCCTAATCACAGCCCACGCTTGGAAAAAACCGCAAGCCTGTCAAACACATCTTGAGTTCAGTGACCATATTTTCTTGCCATGACTATTTTATAGTACTGCAAACATATAAACTCTGTAGCACTGTGGAGCAAAATGATGCCACTTATTACCTCATGGAAATTAGTTTAACCAAGAAAGAAATGGAGTGAAAAACAAATTATGAAGACAGATGGATTGGTTAATGACTCAAATGTTCTCCCTCCCTCTTCCGCAATCTTGATGGCATCTGTATTATGAACTAAGAGGTAATAACAAATCAAATCAGAAAACAAGAATGAATGTGAATCCTGAAGAAACTAAAACTGACACCTCTCTCTCCCTGAAAACCCCACACAGGTCTTTCTGAAAGCTTCCAGCCCCCCCCAAAACACATTTAAAAAAATCCACTAACAGTAAAAAACAAAACACATACAAAATCCTGTTTACTCAGCTTACTATTACGAAACGGTCGTATTCGACACGGTGTCTCCCATAACATCCTCCTAGGGAAGCTCAAGAAGTGTGGGCTGGATGAGTGGTCAGTGAGGTGGATTGAGAACTGGCTGAATGGCAGAACTCAGAGGGTTGTCATCAGCGGCGCTGAGTCTAGTTGGAGGCTGGTAACTAGTGGTGTCCCTCAGGGGTCAGTACTGGGCCCAGTCTTGT